GATGTGCGCTTTTGGAAAAGACTTAAAGATATGTTCTGTAAACCTGGAATCTTGTAGGACTGAGTCAGAAGTAACTCAGAACTGACTTCAGCGTGAGACCAGCATCGGGTCTTTAGGAAGAGGTATCATTTATTGAGCTGAAGTGTCTCTGTTGCATTCTGTAAAGGACAAGTGAAGGCCTATTGGCTGAGCTAAGGATTTAAGAAAACAGGTATTAGGTATTTGGGTATTCAGGCCAAGATTGGCTGTGTTTGGAGTTCTTCAATCTCCAGTCTCTCTACCAGAGTATTAAATCTTTGATCTTCCTTTGTAGATTATAGTTACCTCCAGAGTAAGGCTTCTTTTTAATGTTTTTACCTAGTATTATTGGTGCTCATCAATATTAAGTTAATTGAAGACCAAAGAAATGAAACTCATGCGTTCATGTGGCTGTCAAAAGTTTTAGTAAAGTATTCCTTGGGAAAAAAATTGAAACTGTTAGGTAAAATGATAGTTTTTATTATTTGGGACACTCTGGGCCATCAGAGCCATAGATTATTTTGAATTGTTTGTGCCTTCTTTGTCCCTCTGCTGATTTGGGACCTAGGTGAGCAATGAGGAACCAGCAGGGGTAGTGGATTCGTGAACTGGTCTGTGTTCAGTTGTCTTTCTGTGTTTAGAATCAGCAACTACCACTCTGTTTCCCAGTTATAGCACTTCTCATTTTCCTTCTCTGGAAATCAATCTTTGCTTTTGTTATTTTTAAATTCAAATTTATTAATTTATTTATAAATTTAAAATTTATTAAATTTATTTATTAATAGACTTTATTTTTTATTTTTTAGATTTTATTTATTTATTTTTAGAGAGGGAAGGGGGGAGAGAGAGAGAGAGAAAGAGGAACATCAATGTGCAATTTCTGGGGGCCGTGGCCTGCAACCCAGGCATGTGCCCTGACCGGGAATTGAACCTGTGACACTTTGGTTTGCAGCCCGCGCTCAATCCATTGAGCTATGCCAGCCAGGGTGACTTTATTTTTAAGAGCAGAAAAATGAACAGAAAATACAGAGTTCCTGTACATCCCCACGCTGTTCCCCTTTTCCCCCCACTTTCTCCTATTAACATCCTACTAGTGTATTACATTTGTTACATAGTTTACTAGTTTATATTAGAGTTCATTCTTTGTATTGTACATTTTATGAGTTTTGACAAATGTAGGATAGCATGTATCCATCATCACAGTATCATACAGAATAGTTTCACTGCCTAAAAATCTCCTGCGCTTCACCTGTCCATCCCTCCCCCAGCTCCTGGCAACCACTTATTTTTCCACTCTGTATAATTTTTGCCTTTTCCAGAATGTCAGAGTTGGAATCAGATAATATGTGGCCTTTTCAGATTGCCTTTTTTCACTTAGCAATATGTATTTAACATTCCTCCGTTTTTTTTTTTGTTTTGTTTTGTTTTTTTGTCAAAGATTTTATTTATTTTTAGAGAGAGGAGAAGGGAGGAAGAAGGGGAGGGAGAGAAACATTGATGTGTGAGAGATACATTAGTAGGTTGTCAGTCAGTTGCCTCTTGCACACGTCCAACCAGGGACCTGGCCCACAACCCAGCCCTGTGCTCTGACTGGGAATCAAACCAGTGACCTGTTGGTTAGTAGGCAGGCACTCAGTCCACTGAGCCACATCAGCAAGGGCCTCCATGTTTTTATGTTGCATGATAGCTCACTTACTTTATCCCCAAGTAATGTTCCATTGAATGGATGTATCTCTGTTTGTTTACCCATTAGCCTATTGGAGGGCATCTTCGTTGCTTCTTAGTTTTGACAGTTATGAATAAAGCTGCTGTAAACATTTGTGTGCAGGTTTTTGTGTGGAATTAAGTTTTCAGTTCATTTGGGTAGTTGGCTCATATGGTAAGAGTATGTTCAGTTTTTAAAGAAACTGCCAGTCTTCCAAAGTGGCTCTACCAATTCACATTTCCACCAGCAATGAATGAGAGTTGCCATTGCTCTCTCACTGTTGCAAAATAGATAATTTAGTTTGAGTTGTCTATGCCTTGTTGCCTGCCCCTAAGCTGATAGGGGACCTTGTTGAGCAAAGAGGGACCTGGAATTGGTGGCAGTACTGGCTATGGCTGGCCTGTGTTTAGTCATCTTTCTGTATTTTGAGAATTGACAGCTACCACTTTTCCCATTTAAAATACTTTCCATTTTCTTTTAGATCTTATCTGGAAATGAAACTTTGCTTTTGTTAGACTTTTGAATAATAGATTGCTCCCCCCCCCCGCCCTTAACACACTATTTTATGATAGGTCTCCATATTCATAAGATCAGGAATGAATACATAGCTTAGGGAACCTAGAAGTCACTTTTTCTTCTAGGTCGGTGCTAGTTCTATTTCAACCAGCATTTCAAAGTTTTCCCCCACCATCCTTGCCCATTCCTGATATCATTGGGCTTCATCTCCTCCATTCCCCGCCATGGGTAAAACTTCCTCTTATTTTCTGATTCAGTGAATTATACTTAACTCTGGTAAAGTACTCATTAAACATTTTACTGAAGGAACATGGTCTACTTGTTAAATTTAAAGCTTGGCTGCTAGAGCCCTGGCCCGGTAGCTGAGTTGATTAGAGCGTTGTTTTAATACTAAGGTTGTAGTTCAAACAAAAAACAACCATAACTGCCAGGAAATCAAACACTCTGGAAGTCCGACAGCCAAGGAATTAAAGAGACATTCACCCAGACTGGTAGGAGGGGCGGAGATGGGCAGAGAAGATGTGCAGCAGCGCTGGCGGACCAGGTGGCCCCACATTTGTGTGCAGATAAACTGGGAGGAACAACTGGGGAGCGAGGCAGACTGTGCAACTCAGGGTTCCAGCGTGGGCAAAAGAAAACCTCAGAACTTCTCGCTGTAAAAATCTGTGGGGCTTGTGGTGGCAGGAGAAACTACTAGTCTCTCGAAAGCGGGGCAAGAGCAGAGGAAACATCATTGTTCCTTCTCTGGCCCCTCCTCCACATGCAGCAAACTGGGTTGCCCCGCCCTGGCAAATACCTAAGGCTCTGCCCCTTACAATGTAACAGATACACCAAGACAAAGGAATATGGCCCAAAATGAAAGAACAGATCAAAACTCCAGAAAAAGAACTAAGCAGCGAGGAGATAGCCAACCCCATCAGATGCAGACTTCAAAACACTAGTAATCAGGATGCTCACAGAAGTGGTTGAGTACAGGTGCAAAATAAAGGAAGAAGTGAAGGATATACAAAGTGAAATAAAATATATAGGAAACCAACAAGAGAAGCGAAGGAAACCAGGACTCAAAAATCAATGATTTGGAACAGAAAGAAGAAATAACATTCAACCAGGACAGAATCAAGAAACAAGAATTCAAAAAAATGAGAGGCTTAGAAACCTCTGGGACAACTTCAAGTGTTCCAACATCCAAATCATAGGGGTGCCAGAAGGAGAATAGGAAGAGCGAGAAGTTGAAAACTTATTTGAAAAAATAATGAGGGAAAACTTCCCCAATCTGGCAAAGGAAATAGAAATGTAAGTCCCGGAAGCTCAGAGAATCCCAAAGAAGTTGGACCCAAGAAGGAACACAAGACATATTGTAATTAACTTACCCAAGGTTAAAGATAAAGAGCTAATCTTAAAAGCAGCAAAAGAAAAGGAAAGATTTACTTACAAAGGAGTTTCCATAAGACTATCAGCTGATTTTTCAAAAGAAATCTTACAGGCAAGAAGGGGCTGGAAAGAAGTATTCAAAGTCATGAAAAGCAAGGACCTATATCTAAGATTATTCAGCAAAGCTATCACTTAGATTGGAAGGGCAGATAGTGCTTCCCAGATAAGGTCAAGTTAAAGGAGTTCATCATGACCAAGCCCTTATTACATGAAATGTTAAAAGGGACTTATCTAAGAAAAAGAAGATAATAAACATGAACAGTAAAATGACAGCAAACTCACAACTATCAACTGAACCTAAAAAAACAAAAACAAACTAAGCAAACAGCTAGAACAGGAACAGAATCACAGAAATGGAGATCACATGGAGGATTATCAGCAAGGAGAGGGGAGATGGGAGAATGGGGTGAAAGGTACAGGGAGTAAGAAGCATAATTGGTAGGTACAAAATGGACAGGGGGAGGTCAAGAAGTGGAAATGGAAATGGAGAAGCCAAAGAACTTACATGTGTGACCCAGGGACATGAACTAAGGGGGGTGGTTTCTGGAGGGGAGGAGGGTGCAGGGCAATAGGGGATAAAGGGGAAGAAAAAATGGGACAACTGTAACAGCATAATCAATAAAATGTATTTAAAAATAAAAATATTTTAATTTTGGGTGATTAAACTTGTTTATTTCTCAGAGGTAAAAATATTAATGTCAACCATCATCTAAAGATGTTTTGTTTTGAATCTTAAGGACTAACTGTATTATATTGCTTTAAAAATTTTTATTTGATTTGAGAGAGAGAGAGAAAAAAAACATTGATTTGCTGTTTCCCTTATTCATTCATTCATTGGTTGCTCCTTGTATGTGTTATCATCGGAGATCAGCCTCACAGCCTTGGTGTGTCAGGAAAACACTCTAATCAACTGAGCTACCTGGCCAGGGCCTGGATTATACTGCTTTTGAATGAGAGATGGCTGTGGGGATGTAAGGCTGTGTTTTGGAACATCCTAGACGTTTAGAGTTAAAATGAGCCCTGGCTGGTGTGGCTCAGTGGATGGAGTGCCAGCCTGCGAAAGATAAGATCTTCAGTTCAAGTTCCAGTCAGGGCACATGCCTGGGTTGTGGGCCAGGCACATCTGTGTTTCTCTCTCTCTCTTTCTCCCTCCCTTTTCCTCTCTCTACGAATAAATAAATACTTTTAAAATATCAGCTCTGTGGTGTTTTTACACCAAATTAATATACTTTCTGAAATATGTGATAATGATTAATATACTTTCTGAAATATCTGATACCAACCTGTGTTGTTGAAGGAATATTAAGTATCGTAATTTCTGTTTCCATAGATTATCTTGATAATGGTAATAATAAAATGGCAATTCAGCAAGCAGATAAATTATTGAAGAAGCATAAGGATCTTCATTGTGCTAAGGTAGGTTCATTTGCCCTTGACTTACTTATATTTGGTGGATTATATATTGTAATCTTTAAAGGAGAAAAATGTTTAATCTCTTCAGTAACTATGTATGTTTTTTCAGAGTACTCTCTTGATTACGTAAATGCCATGAATAGTATTTAGTTAAAAGCTCCCTATTTCTTTGGATATACCTTATCTAATTTAATTATTTTATTTCCACAGTCTTTTTAAGCAATGTTTTGCATTCTTAATATAACCAAAATAGGAAAGAATCTTGATTTGCTCATATTATTAGTAAAATAGTTTAATTGATTAACAGCCTAGGCATACCTTACAGCTTATCTTGTCCTTTCACGTTGGCTTTCTGTGGTTCATACTTCCTTTTCTGTCCTTTTCAGCCTGATTTGTCTTTTCTTTGTATCAGGTTTTAAAGGCAATTGGTTTACAGAGAACTGGAAAGCAAGAAGAAGCCTTCACCTTGGCGCAGGAGGTGGCAGCCCTGGAACCCACAGATGACAACTCGCTGCAGGCACTGACTATTCTTTACCGGGAGATGCATCGCCGTACGTTTCTTTTCATTGCTTTTAAAACTGAGCTTAAATTTTTGGATATTTCTGATTGATCTTTCTATTTGTCTGATTTACTTATCCCTCATGGTTTGAGTGGGTGACAGAGGTGAAACAGTGCATTTACCATGATTTCTGCAGACTGGGGACAGAGAGGGTAATTTGTGTGTTTCAGGACCCTTGCTTGAGTGGGAAAGAGGACTTGCGTTGCATCTGTGGCATTTTGATTTGCTAAATGCGAGAGTTAACCTCTTTTCTTTTTAACATGGAACATTTCAAATAAAGGAAAAAAACCAGAATAGCATATAAATCCCATTGTACTCATTACTCACCTTTAGCAATTATTGACACGTGGCAAATTTTATCTATGTCCCTCCCCTGCTAAATTATTTCTAAGTATATTCTAGTCTGCCATTTCATCTGTAAAGTTTTTATTGTTGATTTCTTAAATATTTTGTTATGAGATAATGTTTTTCATAATACATAGTCTAGAAGAATATATTTTATGTCACACTAGACAGTTTGATGTGGAATAATTAATATTCATGAACCTGCTGTCCAACTTAAGAAATGCAGCATTGTCCTGACCTGGTAGCTCAGTCATCTCGATACGCCAACGTTGTGGGTTCAGTGCCGAGTCAAGGCACATATAAAAAGCCACCAATGAATGCGTAAATAGCTAGAACAACAAATCAGTATTTCTCTTTCTCTTCCTCTCTCACCCTCCACCTCCCCCAACCTCAATCCGTCCCTCCTTCTCTCTCTCTCTCTCTCCAAGAATCCCCCTTCCTGTCTCTCTCTCAAAATCAATTAAAAAAAAAAAAGAGCCCTGGCTGGTGTGGCTCAGTGGATTGAGCCCCAGCCTGTGGACCAAAGGGATGCCAGTTGCATTCCCAGTAAGGGCACGCGCCTGGGTTGCCAGCCAGGTGCCCAGATGCGGGATGTGTGAGAGGCAGCCACACATTGGTGTTTCTCTCCCTTTCTTTCTCCCTCCCTGCCCCTTGAAAAATAAATAAACAAAATCTACCAAAAAGGAAATATCAATACTAAGAATGCTTCCTGTGTGTTCTTCGTCAATTTCATTTCCTTGTTTATCTCCCAAGAGGTACTTGCTATCCTGAATATTTTTTATTCTCTTGCTTTTTTAAAAATTTTTGTTTTTCTGAGTAATGAATTGTTAGTTTTGCTTCATTTTGAACTTAATATAAAAAATTAAATGCCATTAGGATTTAAGTTATACTTCAGTAATGAAAGAAAATCCTATTTCTCTTTCTCTTAGCGGAGTTAGTTACAAAACTTTATGAGGCAGCTGTGAAGAAAGTTCCCAATAGTGAGGAGTATCACTCTCACCTGTTCATGGCCTATGCCAGAGTGGGCGAATACAAGAAAATGCAACAGGTAACTTGATCTCCAGACCTCCTGGGGGCGGGGGGGTGCTGTTGTGGGGTCAGAGTCTCATGTGATTTAACTGCAGTGGTGTGTGTACTGTGCATGTGTATTGTGTGTTTCTAGAACTGAACTGTGTATTTGTGTGTGCAGATCGGCCAGTTATTTTTTTGCAGGTGTGTTTTAGAGATAAACTATTTTTCAAGTTTTAAAAAGGTTTTATTTGGGGAAATTTGATTGTTCCTCTTTTGTGGCCTAATGGTATGTATTATTTGGTTCTGGTAAGTTGGCTTCAAATTCCCCTGTCAGGTTGCTGTTGTTGTTTCAGAAAGTGGGCAGACATTCCAAAGCAAAAAATGAACAGATTATAAAAAGATTAACTTTAAAGTTCACATCTAATTTGTAATTATTGAACTGTTTGTAGCCTGATGAGATTTTAAAATCTGTCAGGGGGAAAAAAAAAGCCCCCGTTGCTTGGGGCACCTAGTTTTTCAGTCAGCAGATTTCAGGTGTTTCTTGCATCCGTGTGCAGGAGCCTCCCTGCCTCGGCCGTGTTCAGACTAGCGGTGGGTGCAGCGGGCAGCTCGGGGAGGCGAGACCTGCGCTGATCAGCCCATCACAGGTTCTGATGTCAAGCTAGTATTTTTTTTGGAACTGCTTTGTTTGTGGGTATAATGCCTTCTGAAGGGAGAGCTAGCTTTCTTGTGTTTTTATGTTGTCTTATTCTTTAAATGTCAAATTATAACAATAAATCTGGGAGGGTGGAAGAAACAATATTAATATAAGTCCTTTCTCCTTAAAATGAATGTTTTTTTGCTTCTGCAAGCTTTTAAATTGGAAGAATTTTTTTGACCCAAATACAATTCTTTGAAGAAATTCTACCATTTTATTTACCTATGAAGTGTATTCTTAGGAAAAGTATACAGAAATTATCATTTTTCTTTCAATGTAAAAAGTATATTTTAAAAAATTAACAGCACTGACATTATACATGTAAATTCTTATATTGCTTTTAATTCTAGGAATATGTTTTAAGTAAAGTTTATTAAATGCTCATTAATACTGATATAAATAAATCACAGTTCCTCTGTATGATAGACTAAAATGCAGTACCCCATCCCCCATATAGTACTGTGTGTCTTTATTTGTTGACGTAGAAAGATGTTCTAGTGTCTGTTAACTGAGAACATGATTGTAAAATGGCCTCCTCTTACCACTCCCCTCATCTCCACTCCGCCTTAGTCAAATATATCCCACTAAGGATACATGCCAAAATGTGACCAGGACACAGGGCTGTCGACACTTTGCATCCTAATTTTCATCTTCATTTCTGTTTTTTAAAAGCATATGTTAATTTCATGATCTCACATAATATATTTTGAACTATGTCTATTACACACACACATAACATAACAAAAAGGGCACGTTCATGCAATAGCAATACAAAGGTGGATTGGGAAAAAAAAGAAAAAAATCTTCCACTTGAACAGGTTTTATTTTGTATAGTTTAACTTTACATCTTGCCAGAGATACAGTTTTTCGTCTTGATTTTTGGAGACACTGCTTTGATGTGGCTTAAGTTACAATTTCTTAATATATTTTACCCGTATCTTGCTTTGCATTATTTCAGTCTCATGTGTTGAAAGAAGGGAGTACTTTGTGTTACATGTTTTAGAGTGGAATGTTTTAATTTTTATTCTGCCTTTATTGCTGTTTCTGGTAGTTACAGTTTCTTAGCTTATACGTATGTTTTTACATTTTTTTGTATGTTTATTTCGATAGTGGTATGTCGGTCTGGGGTAATAGGTATTTAACAAATTAAATGTCATATTTCATGAGGGTGAGGGTTTCTGTTTCATTCTCTGCGGAATCCTCAGCTCCTAGAATAGCATCTGCACAATAAACATTTGTTAAATAAATGAGTGATTTGCATAAACTGGTGGAGGTATTGGGAGGAAGCCAGAGCATCTGAAAACTTCAGACTTCTGCTGCCCCAAATGACATCCTCTGGCAGGTAGTTTTTAAGACCACTTTGCACGAGGAGTTTCTAGTCATTCACATGGTGATTAGATGCTCCTTTTTCCCTAAATGACAGTCCCATTCTCTGAGTCACCAGTTTACAAGCCATGTTTTTCAGACTTGTCTCTTCAAAAGCTTTCTGCATCAGCAGACTATTAGTGTCCGCAAGACAGTGGGGTGTGGGCATGAAATCTTTGTCTTTTATATTAAAAGTTCATATTAATTCTATATCCTATTCCTTTTTACTTCTGCATGTCATTATAAAAATGTTTTCTTTCCCCAGACTATCAAGTAACATCAACACTTTACATTTCATTCCTCCTGAGTTTGGTGTTGGGAGGAGGGACCTCAAACCATCGTAGACTCGCCTGCCACCCTGCTTTGTCTCCAGGTCGCCTGGGTCTCCCTCCGCAGCGCCTCTGGGGTCTCTCTTCTGTTTGATCTGCCTCACCCCTTCTTCCTAGTTTCTTTCTTCACTGCCAGGATACTCTTCCTAGGAGAGGATGCGACACACATTACTCCTTTGGGCTCCCTTTCGAGTGCCTTACCACGAAGGTCCCTCAGTCCACCCTTCAGTCCTTTTCTGTCCTACTCAGTCCTGTGTAAGCCAGACGTGCTGCTTGTTCTTGTCAGCATGTTCTCTAAGGTTTTTATTCAGACTCGTTCTGCTCCTGCCTGGAATTGATTCACTCACCTATTCTGCGCCACCCCCCCCCCCAACATTTGTATTCGTGTATGCCTCCTTACCCCCCATCTTTGCCCATTGACGTTGTGTTTGACTTTCAGGGTGCATCTGAAAGACTGCTACTTTGGAAAAGGCTTTACTGACAAAATTCCCTTCCCCGACTTTCCCTTAAAGAAAGAAGAAAGGAATAAGCACACTTAACCTTCCCTTCCTTAGAAACACCCAGTACGGTGTTTTTGTATATGGCGTTTATGTTTATTGCCAAGTGTATTTTAGTCATTCGTGTATCTGTCTTTTCTTTCCCTAGCTTTTAAGTGCTTTTGGGACCAGGGCACAATCTTTGTATCCTTGGCAGAAATAGGCTTTTCCTGCCCTGACCGGCATGGCTCAGTTGGTTGGGCATCATCCTGCAAAGTGAAAGGTTGCTGGTTTGTATACCAGTCAGGGCACATGACTGGGTTGCAGGCCTGGTTCCCCGTTGGGGTGCTTGGGAGAAGCACCTGATCAATGTTTCTCTCCTCTTTCTACTATGTTACCCTCTGTCTAAAATATATAAATAAAATCTTTTAAAAAAAGCAATAGGTATTTCCTTCCACTTAACAGAGTCTCCATGAAATTTTTTAAACTACATTGAAGATAGGCAAAAGATTAAAAAAAAAGTAACTATGATAATTAGCTGACAGAGTTTATAGTATTGATTTCTAGTTGGCTAATTGTGGATAGGTTCTCAGTTATGTATGAACAGATCTGTTTTGCTCTTTGTTGCCTTGTCCCTGCTTTTAAGTGTTTGTATATTGTACATTTCACAACGAAAGAGTTCAGTTCTAATTATTGGTATCTTGAAAGACCCTGATTCTTTTCCTTACCTAAGAAATTTTTGAATTATGTGAGTAATCTTTTCTAACGTTGAAGTTTAACTGTACTGTTTGCATTTCTTTGTTTATTTGTTTAACTGGTTAGTGTGATATCTTCAGTAAAGTTTGTTTACTGGTGTACATTCATAACCTAAATTTTGTGTTTGCTTTGGTATTCTATTGGGACTATATTGGATTGCAGTATTTTTAGAAATACTGGTTAAAAAAAAATTTTTTTTTTACTTATTTGTTGGTGTTAGAGAGAGAGGAAGGGAGATAGAGAGATGTTGATTTGTTATTCAATTTACTTATGCATTCATTGGTCGATTGTTGTATGTGCCCCGATTGGGGATCGAACCTGCAACCTTGGCTTATCTGGATGACACTCTAACTGAGCTACCCAGCTGGCTAGAAATCCTGGGTTTTAATTTGAGAAAATCTGTTTCAAAGGTGAAATATTCCTGATATAAAAATTCATGTTTGTGATGACCTCTATTGCTAGCCAATAGAGAATACCCATTAAGTCACTCGGCATTTACCGTAACTGGGATATGTAAACGTGTTGCTGTTCTCCTAGGAAACTTTTTGCCACATATCTAGATCATTAATTGTCCTCTTTATAATCTTTTCTAAATTATTTATGGCTCTCTTTCAGGCTGGCATGACTCTATATAAGATTGTCCCCAAAAACCCTTACTACTTTTGGTCTGTGATGAGCTTAATTATGCAAGTGAGTATGGCATTCAGAATGGAATTGAGATTTGTTTTTATTTTTGTAAATAGTTATTGTCCTTAATGTGTCTTATGAACGTCTGGGTAATGTGCTGCAGCATGTGCCAAACAGGGACTTTACATGGCATCAGCTGACTTTCTGAGTTGGGAAGTTTTGGTCTTCTTTACGAGTTGCTATATTGGTTTACCTGTGTGCAGCACAGACCATATTTTCCCTGAACATTAGATCTATCACTGGGGTACGAGCCCTGAAATGTTGGATGTTTTGACTTGAGGTTTGTCTTTAAGACAATATTGTTAGTCATGACACAGGTTATTGAGCTAGGTGACCTTGTTTTATCGCTTCTGCTTTCTGAGCCTCTGCTTGCTCTTTTACTAAATGGAGATGCTCATCTCCCAGAGCTGCTGTAGAACTGAAATGAGAGACTATATAGGCGGGGGCGGGGGGGAGCGGGGTAGGAATTCAAATGGAGCATTAGCAAACAGAGAGGCTCTAGGTTTAGACACGTCTGTGTTCAAATATTGCCTTCACATGTTTTGAAGAGTGGAGAATCTCCTAACATTTTTTTATCTATAATATAAGCATAGTAGCTACCCTGAGAGGTTGTTTACAAGGGTAAATGAGGTCTGAGTAGAATCTAGCAGTGTTAAAATTATTAATACCATGCATTGATTTTAATTATCTAAGCTAATTGTAGCTAACAGTAAGCTGTATAAATAGCTGGCATTTACCTTTTTATATGTGAACATCTCAAAAAAATAGCCGAAAAGCTTTTCTCTTCAGACACTCGATGATACCCTTTGTGTATAGAATACAGCATAGGCATACCTTCCTTTTTACATGTTCCTAGAAAAATTTATGAATAATCTATTTAAAAGTTAGGTCATATTGTGTAAACTCAGCATTTCAAGACTACATAGGATAACGAATTTTTAATAGAGAAATCTTTTATAAAACAAACCACTCTAATGTATTTTCTTGGCAGGTTCAAATTGATATAGTAGAATGATCATTATGTACTGGAGTCATAGTAATGGTCAGCATGATATAAGTAGCGGAAGCAGGGAAAATTTAGAATGAAATATTTATTTTTTTCTCTTCTAGTCTATATCGGCACAGGATGAAAACCTCTCAAAAACTATGTTTCTGCCCCTTGCTGAGAGAATGGTAGAAAAAATGGTGAAAGAGGACAAGATAGAAGCGGAGGCTGAAGTGAGTAATTTAAGCCCTACTTTTATAGTTACATGGTTGTGAAATTGCTACAATTTTATGTTACAATATTACGGACTGTTGCTTTATTCCAGTTAGAGAGGTGGCTTCTCACTCTTGCCCTTTGTGTAAATGTGAAGCTTTGGAAGCTCCCAGCCTTAATGTAATAAACATGGAGCTGTTTCAGCAAGGATTCTTGCCTGAGGTGTATATAGATAAGGAAGATTCTGTTGTCTGATTCTTATTGTCAATTACATCTCACTTGAAAATAGCATTCTTTTCTATTAGATAACTTTTAAAAAATATACACGACTATTAAAAACTTAAAAAAATATTTTCCCTTTTTAATTTTTAAATTAAAGTTGACATTCAATATTATTATTTTATAAAGATTTTATTTTTTTATTTTTTAGAGAGAAGGAAAGGGAGGGAGAGAAAGAAACATTGATGCCTGAGAGAAACTTAGATCAGTTGCTTCTCATACACCCCTAAACTGGGGTCTAGCCTGCCACCCAGGCATGTGCCCTGACCTGGAATTGAAACGGTGACCTTTCACTTTGCAGGACGACACCCAACCCACTGAGCCACACTGGTCAGGGCTCAGTGTTATTTTATGTTAGTTGCAGGTGTACTGCGTAGTGGTTAGACATTTATATAATTTATGAAGTTATCCCTTGGTAAGTTTAGTACCTACCCAGCACCATATGTAGTTGTTACAATATTTTTTACTCTATTCCCTGTGCTGTACTTTACATCCCCATGACTGTATTTTTGTTACTGAAAAGTTTCAGTGGTTGCACTTGTTTGCTTTTCTGTAAGGTCGAACTTTATTATATGATCCTGGAGCGTTTGGGAAAGTACCAGGAAGCCTTGGATGTCATCAGGGGAAAATTAGGAGGTAATTTTGAAAGTTTTCTTAAAGTATTTTTTCCTGTTTAAACACAAAAAATGTTTATTGTGGAAAATTTCTTCCTCATACAGAAACATAAAGATATAAAGCCATAAAAAATCACTTGTGACTATTTTATGTTCACCCAGACTTTTCTGTGTTGCACATTTATTTTAAAAATATTTTTTAAATTGAATTTGTTGGGGTGACATTGATTAACAAAATTATATAGATTTTAGGTGTACAGTTCTGTGATGTATCATCTGTGTGTTGTGTTGTGTGTTCACCACCCCGAGTCAGGTCTCCTTCCGTTTCTGTTTATCCTCCTTTTACCTCCCCACCCACTTCCCCGGGGGTAATAACCATACTGTTGTCTTTGTCTATAAGGTTTTTTAAAAAATATTTTTTAATTGAAAGTAATTCAGGGATTCATCCAATTCAAGGAATGTGAAAGGTTCTACCCTCTGCCCTCTGGATTCTTCTCCAGGCAGTTGTTCTGTATATTCTTCTAAAAATACATCCCCTCCCCACCTTCCTGTTTTTTAAACCACAAATGACAGCATGCTGTACCTGACCCATGGAAGAATCTTATTCAGTTAATACAGTGTTTTCCTTAAACTATTTTTTTCTTTAAGATTTAGAATGTCAGTGCCTCTAGTTATGATTGCTGCTCTGGTACAAATATTCTTTGTTCACCTGCCTGACCTATGAAGGCATTTGAGTTTGGGGCCTTTGCTCTGTATACTCAGGTAGCCATTGTTTGGTTTTTAACTTAGCACTGAGTCTTAGAGACACACCTCACTAGGTCACTCTTGAACGACAGCCCAGTGTCCCCTCCAGTAAATGCAGGGAGTTTAATTAACTAGTCCTTGATGGACATTAAGGCTCTTTGCAAGGAACATCTTTGCTAAAACCTGATCGCCCCTAGGAGGCCACACTGCGCATCCCCACCCGCTTCGCTTATTGTCAGTGCGCCAGAGGGCCTGTCTGCACGCTTACCAACCCGAATTAAACTTCTTATGTTTTTCCACCTGAGATAAAACGTGTCTTAGACTTTTTAATTTAATTATGGGAGAGGATAATGATTTTTCATTTAAAAGTCATTAATTTTTTTCTCTTCTCTGAACTGCTTTTCCTTATCCTTTTTATATTTCTAAAAATTTGATTACGCTTACTGATTTGCAAGAGCACTTTTACATGTTAAAAAAGTTCTCTCTTTTCCATTGCCGTGAAGATACTTCTCTTTTTGTTGAAACCCTGATTTGTACAAAGTTCCTAGGCTGGCTAAACCATACCCCTATTTTGGACCTTTATGACAAAGATTTTTCATTCCTAACTATTTAAACGTTTGGTGATTTTCTCAGGAGACATTATTGGAAATGCCATTATTGCTTCATTAAACCTGTTTTTTAAATTGTGCCTTTACAGTAATAGGGGGTAACTAATTGTAGATGAGTAACCCCAGATCTTTTATTTAGTAGTCTTTAAAAATCTTTGTTTCATACAAGTATGTACTATACATCCTTTACTAGACTGTGAACAGTCATAAAACTGTGCACAGTTAACTACCCTAATTATATAAAGCACAGGAGGAGTTTTTTTAAACTTCAGCCTTCTTGTAGATGAGTACAAGTCAGACTTTCTGCTTTTACTTGTCTAGATTCTAGTTCTACAATATGTGTGGTTAAAATTTAGATTCTCTGTAGGAAATTCATAATGTGCTTGTCAGTGTCCTTAATCTGCAAACCTGTCTGAAAAGGACAGGGCAGATTTAGTTCAGTCAGAAATACAGTCCTAGCTTTTCTGCTCTCAGCTGTTGGGAAAGAGTTGGATTCATCTCTGTTTTTTATCTTCCCCCTGGTGTCTCTTGTCACCTGCTCATTCCATTCTAGTCCAAGCTTGTTTGATGTTTTGGAACTGTATGGCTGGGAAGTCTGTCTGTGGGCTAAATATACCTGTCCTTAGATTCTGCTGGGATTTTATAAATGTGTCCCACATACTGGAGCCTAAACTCAATGCATTCTGGATGTATATTTCACAGAAAAAAAAATATTGTTAAAGTTTAATATCAGAAATAGATTTTTTCTTTTTAGAGTTTATTTATTTACTTTTAGAGAAAGGGAGAGGGAGGGAGAAAGGGAAGGAGAGAAATATCAATGTGTGGTTGCCTCTTACCCACCCCATACTGGGGACCTGGCCCACAACCCAGGCATGTGCCCTGACTAGGAATCGAACCAGCGACCCTTTGGTTCACAGGCCAGCACTCAATTTACTGAGCCACACCAGCCAGGGCAGAAATGTACTTTTTGTTTTCAGCAAAATAATTTTTAGTAAGATAGTAGTTTGTGTGTAATAGTGGCTCAATTTTCTAAGAGAGGGAATAAGAAAATGTGGTATTTTCCTTCTTGTCTTTGGGCTTTATGTTGGTTTCTGAGCAGAAATGAAACTAGCTTACCAACTACTATAACTTTTAATTGTAGAGAAGTTGACCAGTGAGATTCAGAGTCGGGAAAATAAATGCATGGCTATGTACAAGAAGCTGAGCAGGTGGCCAGAGTGCAATGCCCTTTCCCGGCGCCTCTTACTGAAAAAGTGAGTAGATACTCTTTTTTGGACTAGACTCTGGAGTGGGGCTTTTAGATGTCATCACTGATATGTTCTGTCTATGGGATTTCTGGGCATAAAGTAAAATCTTTTAGTAGTGTGTCCTGGATATTTTTAGTTTTTGATGAACCATCATCTTTTAACGGACTTAGTAGGTCTTTAGAAGGAACCCTGAAAATCATTTAACAAATTTGGTATTCAGTATTGGTCTAAAGGAGAGACCCTCTCCCTCCATTTAGGAAGTGCTAATGTGGGGAGTTTTCTATGAAGAATTTTAGTTTTCTAGCCCTGGTCATTTCATTGAAGGAAAGAGTAGTCTCTTAAAAGTTTTTTCTTTGAAATTGCCTCTGGAGTGCTGTCCTTTTGGGGCTGCAGAGAAAATCCAGAGGGAGGGGCTCTCTTAGTAAAGTATAAAATGTAACTTAAAAAATAAGTTGAGTATCTTGCTTTCTAAGGCAGATGTGTCACAACTTGGGTTTAATCCCGTGTGCACCATTCAATCTGATTTTAGCTCAGATGACTGGCAGTTCTATCTGACTTACTTCGATTCTGTCTTTCGACTGATTGAAGAGGCCTGGACTCCTCCTGCTGAAGGTGAACAGTAAGTTGTCTTCTTTTCAGAGTTACAGTATCACTTTTGTTGTTGTTTTGTATTATAACTTTTTCCTTTTATTTTACAATGGCATCACCTAATATGTTGTAGCAAAAGAATTTCATTATAAGCTTTTATTGAATTCTCTTTTCTGGTTTCAGTAATTTATCCCTTTCAAAGTAAGATTTTTTTTCCTCTTTTTAAAACAATTACAAAGTAAAAATTATTCCAAAAATTTTCCACTCTTTTTTTTAGGAACCAGGTAGAGGTAGTTAATCACTCTGCATTAATGATTGCCAAAATTGGGAGTAATCAGATGCCATGTTACCTACCAGAAAATGCTTATAGCTCTTTCCTCCCCATTTGTATTGTTTTATAATGATCAAATGCTTTTTGTTTAATTAATTAATTAATTGTTCAGTTACAGTTGTTCCCATTCCCCCCCCCCCCGTTACTCTGCCCTTTTTTCTTATTTTTAAATTTGTTTTTACAAATAAGTTGGGTTTGACTTTAATTTTGGAATGGACAATAGAGGCACAAAATACCTTTTTTGTGTGTTTATACCCAGCTCTTTAGAAGGAGAAGTACATTATTCTGCAGAAGAAGCTGTGAGGTTTATAGAAGATCGAATAACGGAAGAATCTAAAAGCTCTCGCCATCTTCGGGGACCACATCTAGCTAAACTGGAGCTGATTAGACGTTTGCGACATCAAGGTTTTAATGATGAGTACAAACTGGGTAAGAAACTGTAGAGATAGTTGGGAGCCCTGGAGAAGATACAGGCATGCTCTCTGTCCTCAAGTTCATTATCTGAGGCCTGCAATGACAGAGTTGTGTGTGAGAGGCAAATGTCTTTATAACCTGAAAATATTTGCTAATGAGTGGACCACTTATAAAGTTAGCCCTCAGTCTCTCCCTAGCCCATCAGAGTCGTCTTTGTCAGACGTTTTTTTGCTGACCCATAGTAATGTCAAAATCAATTTCAAAGTAAAGTAGCCAGTTTTGTAAAAAGTTTCAGGATTTCATGAAGTGGATAAAAGGTTTCTTAAAAATCTGCTCCCAGCACTCACACTGATAAAAGAAAGAAAATCTAGAGTTCCGGGCAAGATGGAGGCGTAGGTAGAAACCCTTTGCTTCCTCCTACAACCAAAAGGAGGATAACAACCAGCCTAAAAACAATAAACAACCAGAAGTGCCAGAAAATCAAACTGCATGGAACTCTGACAACCAAGGAATTAAAGAAACAGTCAACTGGACCAACCAGCCCAGTAGGAGGAGGATGGGCAGCCAAGCAGACAGAGAACTGCAAGGCAACGCACCATACGGGTGGGGCTGGCTGAACGGGAAACTGAGACTCAGAGCTGGCTGTGGACTACCGCAGTGGCCCCAGTGGGAGGGAGAAACTCCCAGTCTCACACAGGAGTTTGTTGGAAGTGGGGCTAGAGCCCAGCAAGCAAACTGCATTGTTCCCTCTCTGACCCCTCCCCAACAGGCAGCGCGCTTCAGCGCAGCAAAGAGGGTTGCCCTGCCCCCTTACAATGTAACAGGTATGCGGAGTCAAAGAAATATGGTCCAGCTGAAAGAACAGAGCAAAACTCCAGAAAAAGAACTGAGTGATGAGGAAATAGCCAGCCTATCTGATACAGAGTTCAAAACATTGATAATCAGGAAGCTCACAGAATTGATTGAGCTCGGTTGCAAAATGAAAGAACAAATGAAGGATACCCAAAGTGAAATAAAGCAGAATATTCAGGGAACCAACAGTGACAGGAGGAAACCAGGACTCAAATCAACGATTTGTAACAAAAAGAAGAAATAAACATCTAACTGGAACAGAATGAAGAAACGGGAATTCAAAAAAAAAAAATGAAGACTTAGGAGCCTCTGGGACAACTTTAAATGTTCCAGTATCCAAATTATAGGGGTGCCAGAAGGAGAACAAGAACAAGAAATTGAAAACTCATTTGAAAAAATAATGAAGGAAAACTTCCCCAATCTGGCAAAGGAAATAGACTTCCAGGCAGTCTAGGAAGCTCAGAGAGTCCCAAAGAAGTTGGACCCAAGGAGGAGCACACCAAGACATGTCATCGTTAAGTTACCCAAGATTAAAGATAAAGAGAGAAAAGCAGCAAGAGGAAAGAAGAGAGTTACCTACAAAGGAGTTCCCATAAGGCTATTAGCTGATTGCTCAAAAGAAACCTTACAGGCAAGAAGGGGCTGGAAAGAAGTATTCAAAGTCATGAAAAGCAAGGACCTACCTCCAAGATTACTCTATCCAGCAAAGCTATCATTTAGAATGGAAGGGCACATAAAGTGCTTCCCTGTTAAGGTCAAGTTAAAGGAGTTCATTATCACCAAGCCATTATTATATGAAATGTTAAAGGGACTTATCTTAGAAATTGAAGAAGATCAAAAACTATGAACAGTAAAATGATAACAAACTCATAACTATCAACAATTGAACCTAAAAAAAAAAAAACAATGAAAACAAATACTAAACAAACAACTAGAACAGGAACAGAATCAGAGAAATGGACATCACATGGAGGGTTTTCAGTGGGGAAGGGGAGGGGAAGAATGGGGGGGAAGGTACAGAGAATAAGGAGAATAATTAGAAGGCATAAAATAGGGAAAGGTTAAGAATGACATAGGAAACCAAGAACTCAAAGAACTTACATGTACAACTCATGAACATGACCTGAGTGTAGGGAATGCTGGAGGGCTGGGGGGTGTAGGGCAGAGGGAAGATAAAGCGGGGGAAATTGGGGATACTGTAACAGCATAATCAATAAAATATACTTAAAAAATTAGCAGAATTAGAACAATTAACAGTTGAAGAAAGAGTTTTTAAGGATAATAAGTTGGGTGAAAAGAACAATTTGGATAGTGAAGGTTTAAGAGAGGCCTTCAGGAAATTTGATACTTTTAGATGTTTTTATAAAATTACTCTTTTTTTGAAATTGAATTTATTGGGGTGACATTTGCTGATACAATTGAGTAGGTTTCAGGGGTTACAATGCTTTCTGCGCTTACTGCAGGAGAAGTGAAGGCTGTCATGCTGTGTTAGCGTACAATTTTGTTGAAAAAAATGGCACCCCTTCCCCACCAAAGCAATAGTTTTTTGCTAATACTAAGCATTAATTTTAATACTTATACCCTATATCTCGTTAAGTTGAACATAATGAACTTTATTAATTTTTCAATTTCAGTTTCAGATAAAGCTCCAAAGAAACCTTTCCTCCCCTGCTCACTATTATAGAAATTTTGTTTTCATTAGAAGTTGATAACACCTTAAGAAGGATTTTTTTTAGGGACTAGTTGTCCCTAAAATTTATCCTAGAACAATACCTAATTCTAATACCTAAAACTTATAATACCTAATACCTAATACTAAATACCTAAAACTTATCCTAGAATATCTCTGTCCATTTTAATCATCTAATGTTTCTTTTTAGCTTCTTCTAAAATTAGCTGTAGACTTATCTCTGTCATTCCGTTTGTAGATTATTGACAACCAACTTCGAATTCCATCTTAACTTCTGTTTTTGCCTCTATGTCAATAATCTGTCTCTGTTAGTTCCAGAATTGCAAATCAAAATTTTCTGTGACTTTCAGGAAATGTTAAAGTAGCCTTCAAGACATTGTTTTCTTTGCAGAGCTGGGTATACAAATATTTGGATCTGCTTTGACCCTTGCCATATTCATCTTCTATCTTTTTCTTCCTTATTACCAGCCCACACCTTACAAGTTTGTAAATTTGTCTAATCTCCACAATTTTTTTTTTTTTCTCCAAACCAGTGAATGATTCTCAGTCTCTTAGGAAAATCTGTTTAAAGCTATGGACTTCTGTTCCCAGAGACATGTGCATAGGGACTGGGACCTAAAATTTGACAGAAATCTTGGTTAAAATCTCTGCTTCTTAAATCTAGTACACTTTGAGAGCATTTTACTTTTATTTTATTCTTTGTTTTTAGTTTGAGGACAAATAAAATGAACTGGTAGCTTTCTGCATTTCTATGTTTAAGTATTTAATAGTGAGTGACCTTGTTGGAGTTATTGGCCTGTGGTTCTTCCCATTTATTTTCTCTTCTGTTGGTGTTCCTATTAGCCAACGGTACCTTTCATGTAATTGACATTTGTTTGATACTTCTGAAGTAGTTCAGGAACTATTGTGGAGAAAAGCATGTTTGTTTAATGTTTGGGTATTAACTTAAGCCTTTATTTAAACTTTAAAGAAAACATTTTAACTATTTAAATTTTAATTGAATGAAAAGCTTCACATTTCCTAAGTATAACGATAGGTAAACTGAATTTGTAAGATCCTGTTCCTTGTTAAGACATATTTCTATTTTTAACTAGGCAAGATACCTTGTAGCCCTCCCAGCCGTTGTCATTCATTCTCATTCAGCATTCAAGCAAAATTATAAGTTAATTGAAATAAATGATTTTCAAATCAGACTTAAATTAGAAATTGCTTCAGTCTTTGAATAATTTAGTGATTCTTTTTTTCTCTTAGGTGACCCAGAAGAATTAATGTTTCAGTATTTTAAAAAGTTCGGGGATAAACCTTGTTGTTTTACAGACCTTAAGGTGTTTGTCGACCTCTTGCCTGCTGCACAGTGTACAAAAGTGAGTACAGTTTGGAGTTCTGCCGGGTGCCTGTGTTTGTTGTAACTAGGCTAAATGTTTGCTCTCCTTTCTGAGATGCGCGAGGGCGGTGAACACGAGATACCAAGATAGCTGCTCTGTCAAGTACTCTGGGGGCTATCAGGTTAAAGGCATGATTTCTCGTTACGTTAAGCCACATGAGAATGAGCCCCTGGTAGATAATTAGAGTCTTCTTTTTTGTTTTAATTGGTTTTTTTGGAGATAATTGTAGATTTATATGCAGTTATAAATGAAATAATACAGAGAACTCTGTATACCCTTCACCTGTTTTGCCCCAGTGGTAACATATTGCCTAATTATAGTGTAGTATCATAATTAGGCAGTTGACATTGATAGTCCACTGACTTTATGCATATTTCACCAGTTTTATAAACATTCACTTGTGTGTGCGTGTAGTGTTTTGGTGTTTTTAGTGCGGCATTTAGCACATGTGGATTATGTGACCACTACCGTAGGTGAGATGCAGGACGTTCACCACCAGGGCCTACTTAAAAAAAAACAAACAAACCCACTTTATTTATTTATTTTTAGAGAGAGGGGGAGGAAGGGAGAAAAAGAGGGAGAGAAACATGGGTCAGTTGTCTCTCCTACACACCCTGACTGGTACCCAGACCCCCAGGGCTAGAACTGGTGTTTTTTATGTTCTTGCCCAATTTAAATAATTAAATACTATAAGATGTTACCTTTGGGAGAAACTGGGTGAAAGGTACATGGAATCTCTGTATGTTATTTCTTACAACTGCATGTGAATCTACAATTACCTCAAAATAAAAACTTAAATTACAAAAGCAATTTAAGGCCACTGACACCCCATAACTAACTGTTCTTTTCAACACATAGTGTTTCCTTTAGGGATGCATTTGTGTGTCATTGTAATGGTGGGTTTGTTGTTTGGTTTTGGTCACCTACTCTTAATCGTTTTCATTGCATTATTATATTGATGTGTTACAACTTTTGAAACATTTTCACAATACTTTTAGTCTTTGTGTATAGTACATGGTGTTGACCAAATACTTTTGGCTATTAGTGAACAAGAGTACCAGTTTCACCAGCAGTAGGTACTGTTAGAAATTTTTTTGTTTTAGCTATTTGGTAGATAGAAAATGGTATAATAAAGTGGTTTTAATTTGTATCTTTTCCTTAATGTCTTTTTCTAGACCATTTCAATATTTGTTAATTATGGCCTACTAAAGACTACTTCTGTTTTAAGATCTGTCCTCTTATTTTTCCCCCCACTCTGCAGTTTATTAATCAGTTACTTGGAGTTGTTCCTTTGTCCACACCAACAGAGGATAAGCTGGCGCTGCCTGCCGACATCAGAGCTTTGCAGCAGCATTTGTGTGTGGTGCAGCTGACGAGGTTGCTGGGCTTGTACCACACTATGGATAAAAATCAGAAACTGAGTGTGGTCAGAGAGCTGATGTTAAGGTACCAGCATGGACTGGAATTTGGTGAGCAACCTTGCAAAATGTGCCGCTGTTCCCTGATCTACTAAGACTTAGAAGTTAGTTTTTTGGTTTGGTTTTTGGTTTTAAAGCACTCAGCCCCTGTTTTAATGAGTTTGGCAAGGAGATTATTTTGTCAGGTGCCAAGACTCTCCAAGTAATAAAATGCCAGGCCTTTCTAAAGCTTGGAGTTTTATTGTTGTTATTTTCTTCCACATTGTATTTTTTTAAAAATTAAGTATAATTGGCATACAATATTAAGCTTGGAGTTTTAATTATAGTTGTCCATATTCTTCCTGATCTGGTGAGCTTACTCTTTCTCACATTGCGGCTCATATGAATTGCATAGTTTATGACAGTTGTCACATTTTCTGCTTATTTGTCCTACTATGTATAATATACACACTAAGTGAACAAAAGGAATGTAAATTGTGAGATATTTAGAAATAAATGACCTTCAGATTGCTAGATATATGTGCTAAAATATCAGTTATCTGATTAGATGATATTAGTATTTCTCTAACTGCATTCTAAAACATTAGGTGAAGGAATGAACATATGACTACTTTAGCTATACATGACCCTTTGGCTTCTGTTCTTTTCTTTACCTAAAACCTTCCAAATCTTGCTGCTTTTCCTGTGGGACCATTGCAGACGCCACCTCTGTTCTGGAACCCTTCTGCTCCAGCGAGTCTGGTCTCACCTTTTGAATCCTTTGGTTCATGGCTTATATTTTCTTCTGCTATTTACCCAGTTCTTACTATTGTCTTTTCCTGTCTCTTCTCCCCCTTATCACTTCTCCTGCTTTAAAAAACTTCTTTGGAGCTGTAGTAGTTAAATAAGTGTTAAATACAGATGTGTTTTCCCCCTGTAGGGAAATCCTGTTTGAAAACCGAATTGCAGTTTTCAGACTATTACTGCCTGCTTGCTGTCCATGTGCTCATTGATATATGGAGAGAAACAGGTAAGGAGCAGTCATTTCAGTTTAACTGTTCTTTTTTTTTAATTGACTATAAGTCCGTGGGCTGATTGCGTAACCCAAGAATTTCATTTATGTTTTAGGTTTTTCTTTCTTGCCCTTCTTCAGGGTGCTTCCAGAAGAACCTAAGTCTCCATGTATCCCCCTCCCTGAAGTCAGGAAAATCTTAAATCAGTAGATATCTGTTCTGATTTAAATGTTTCTGAATAATGAGTAATGACTGTGAAAAACCTATTACAAAGTTACAGTCATTATCAAACAGAGAAACTGATTCAGAGATGGATGTATAGGCCCATGGCATGGAATAGCCCTTTTATTTACTTTAAAAAAGGCACACATAGGAAAAGGAACTCCTTGGAATACAGTTCTGGTTAGCCCACTGAAGGCCAAAATATAATACATGGCAAAGGGAGCATCGTGAGTCCTGAAGCAGGAGAAGGGTGATTCAGCAAGTGGCACTGAGATAGCCTTTTCGGTAGGTCTCACCCCTCCAGACATGTTCTCTTGTTAGCATTTGTTGGGAAAAAATAACTCTAGATACTTACTGCGTACTATTCACTAGAATAAACTACGGAAGAAACAAAGGGCTGGGGAGACAGCTGTGTGCAAGATAGACATGTCCCCTGCCCTCGGGGACCACTTTACAGAGCACTCCGTTTTGGTACTGTCCCCCTCAGGCTCCAAGTTCTCCAGAGGCACCCTGTTTTCCAAAGGGCCGAGGCCAGTCTTTCTAGGCTAATTTGCAATGTATTTTTGTAGTCCAGCCTCTGCCTACGTCTCCAGAGTCTTATGTATTGGGTTGGTGAGAAAGTCCTTATAGCTTTTTTCCACAAGATAAAAGATACATTTTTCATTTTCACCAGTAACTTCTATTGGTTTGGATATTTCGAGTATGCTGGCTATTTCCCACATGGTAGCACGTTCATTGTTCTCAGTTACTGTCTGCATTTGATCGCCTCCAACTTCAGTTAGTCTACCTGTGGAGCATCGTCCAGCGAGAAATCTCCGGCACAAAACTTCGCAAATCACTTTTGACGCTTTTGGCATGTTTTACCCTCACCTTTCCTGCTTCCACCAGGCACTCTAACATTTTGCATGTATCCTTCTGTCTTTCTCTGCCTATTTTTTAGACTTTAGATGAACTATTCATGCTCATTTGAATTCTGTGTGTCTTTTACTGATCAGTATTACGAAAGTATTTTCCCTTGTTATTAAAAACTCTTCATTAACATTAAATGGCTGCATGATATTTCAGTGTGTGGGTGTTGCTATAATTTATTAATGCAGTGAGTATTTTTGTATATAAAGCTTTATCTACATTTCATGTTATTTTCTCTAGGTAGATTCTTAAAAGAGAATTTACTTAATCTTTAAAACTTGATACATTTGGCCTTTTGATTTTTAGTGGCTCAAAAAAAGTGTGTCATTTTATTTTGATTATTAATGAGTAAGTTTTTTCAAATATTATTGATGCCCTATTGGTAGAGTTACATATGGAAGACAGATGGTGTCTAGAGAAAGCATCTGTCTGGGATTTTGTAGAGAAAGTCCTCTACTGGGAAGGTTGGTAGACTCCAGTTCTTCAAAATTCATCTTTTCTCGGGATCTAGGGTCTTGTGAGATTCCATAACTTTCCTGCACGAGACTTGGCAGCTTAAAATTTGCATCAGTTTTGCAGATACATGTTTAGTAATTGAGGGACTATCTATTCAGGGAAATACCCTGTTTTGCTTACAGGTGTGTAGCTAAAATTTGCTCTCTGCTACCTAAACTCATTCTTAAAATAGTTACGGGAGGTAATGATGTCAGTAAGTTTTTCTTTTTGAAAAACCTCCATTTGCTTTCAAAATCTGTGGGTAATGCTGTGACATTTTGGTTTTAGGTGACGCGACTGCTGTGTGGCAGGCCCTGACTTTGCTGGAAGAGGGATTAACCCACAGCCCTTCCAATGCTCAATTCAAACTGCTGCTCGTTCGAATCTACTGTGTGCTGGGGGCGTTTGAGCCGGTGTTGGACCTGTACTCCAGCCTCGATGCTAAGCACATCCAGCATGATACCATTGGGTTGGTAGTATACACTCTGAATAATAGCAGCCCTTACACGTGGGACTCTGACTTTCCGATTTTAGCAGTGAAGTTGTTCCTGGTATTAAGCTTTTTAGATGAAATAATCACGTATTATGACTCATCGCAAAGCAGTCAGAGTTTGTGTTTGCCAGCATTTTGTAGTAATGTCAAAATGTGCACAATTTAGAAATGCTAAGAAAGTTTTCCCAGAGATAGCAAACAGCTATATACTTTGAACCTTTTTTCTTAGCACACGTTGGTTTCAAGTCTTCTGCCTTGCAGTTGAGGTTAACACATGTGCTCTGTTTGCTGACCTCAGAGAGCCTTTGAGTTTGTATTGTAACGGTTCTTGGTGATGAATCAAGGGTATTGTCTCTATACCCTGTGGAGCCGTTGTAGGAAGACAGTATTCTGTTCTCTTACAAATTGTGTTCCATGGGCATCTGAGTGTAAGAAAGCATGTTATGGAACTTTAGGGCTCTCACAAAACTGAATTAACTTTGCTCTTTTAAAAAAGATTTGATTCTGTGAATTAGATCATTTATATGACAGGATGTTTAAAGTTCCATATGTTTAGCTATTTCTCTGACATAGTAATTTGAAGTATAGTATATGATACTAGAGGTGGGTAAGTATAACGTGTTTTTTTTCTTTCCTTCCAAACTAGTTATCTTTTGACCCGTTACGCTGAATCCCTAGGTCAGTATGCTGCTGCATCCCAATCCTGTAACTTCGCACTCAGGTTTTTCCACTCCAACCAGAAAGATGTAAGTGAAAAAACGGTTTTTTAAATATGGTCTTGCCCGCTGAATGCACACATTGCAGAGAGTACCTCCCCTGTGTCGCAGGTACACAGGTTGAGCTGTACCACACTGTACTTGCAAGTGCCCTCAGGCCGTAGCTTAGTGGCCAACGCTGTTAGGTAGAGGTGGAGAGTTATTTGTGGTTGATAGAATGGGCATGTTTAATAGAATCCATATGAAGGTGAATTTACAACTGGGTATTCATAGAACAGGAAGTGTTGATACCTCTCAGGTTGGTCTTTGAATCTCTAGGAGGATTTTTCCAAGGACACGAGGGTGCAGTACAGGCATCTGCGACAGCAGCTGCTCTCTGTTACCTGGACTCCTTTCTGAAGTCTGTAACCTCCGTGCTGTTTGCCAACGACAACTGCACTTACATTTTCTTAGAATTGTAAAATTGACTGGTTGTAAATAATTTCAGGAAACTTTGGTGAATAGTATTTTTTTAAACTAGCAATAAATAAGAGAGAGCTTCTGTGTGCCATAACAAAAGGATGGGATTTGCACCATATTTTTCATTGCAAACAGACTTTGTCCCCACTTGTGAGTTAAGCAGTTTTTGTGGAAAAACCACATACATGGTCTCTGCTTAGTCAAGCAGCTATGCAAAACCATCCAGTAACATATGTGAAGATAGGTATGTCTTCGAGGATGGGCACTGCCTCCTTGGTTCTTGTGTTTCTGAGACACGTCGCCTAGAGTTGGGCCATGCCAGCTATCTCCCCATAGCCTCCCATTTTCATGGTCTAACAGCAACTAAGAAATTGGGGGAGAGAGCTCGTTTCTGGGGTTCTTGATGGCAAACACTCATGACAACTTTAAAAAAATGATTTGTAACTGTAACATCTGGGGCTAATCTATCTGCCATCTAATTCTTTAGGGGTATATTAAATAGAAGGCATGGGCAGGGCAGAAATATTTCTGAACAGTAAAATATAGGTTTGTTATTCTGAGCCCGCAATAATGATGTCCTGACAAGCATCAGGGCGTGGCCTAGAGGGCTGATGTAGCAAGGGATGGCGAACTGTGCTTCATCTGTTGGTTTTTAAGTCCCGTTTCCCTCCCCTGTGACCTCTCTGCCAGAGACTGGTGTCTCTGTTCAGACCTCATTTTGTGCCACAGCTCCTGACCGGGGAGAGTGGGCATGAGCATTTGAACATACTGCTCAGAAGGTGCTGGCCTGCTTAGAGGTCAGAGGGTATCTTTTGGACCTTGGTTTCTAAAATGTCTTAGCATGAGTGGGTAGTCGAGTTATAAATCAGTGAGTTTTCACTGTGTGTTCAAGTACCTGCTTGCCTCTCTGTTTTCAAGTAGTTTTACTAACTCAAAAGGAAAAAAGCTCCTTAAATCTCATCATTCTGGCTCTCATTTCTGTATATCTTTTTTAAATTAAATTTTTTTTTTCCCGACTCCCCTAAATTTTGTTTTTTAAATTTAAGAGAGAAGAAGGGAGAGGAACATCAGTTTGTTGTTCCACTTATTTATGTATTCATTGATTGATTCTTATATGTACCTTGACTGGGAATTGAACCCACAACCTTGATATATCAAGACAATGCTCTAACCAACTAATCTACCTGGCCAGGGCTCATTTGTATATTTCTAAGGAAGAGGTTAAAGAAAAGATCTTTTCAGATAGTTCTGAAAAGGTGGGAGTGGGGGTAAATAAGGGATGTAACTTCTCAAAGAACCATGTTGTTCATGATTTGGCCAATAAGGGCACATTATTTTATCCTAATAAAAATTAAGCTTTACTTTTCCCCTATAAATACCTTATCTGAAGAGTTGTTTTGAACACACACACACACATGCAAACAAATGAAAGTACCATAGTGTGGAAAGGAGACCACCAGGAGTGCTTTGAGAGGGCGTGTTGTCCTCAGTGGCTTTTGTGGGTGTCTCTGTTGTTTTGCTGGTGGTTGTGCGTGGCAGGAGTGATAATTCATCTGAATGTTTGTGGTGCCGAATCTGATAAAATTACAGTATTTCATTGATCTGGGACTAGCACACTCTGCTTGGCATTTATATTTTATTACTACTAACTGAGAAGACAACTTATTTAATCATATTAGGTAAATAATCTTTGGGGGATGCTGAAGGCAAAAGCAAAACACAGTATAGCAAGAAAAATACACCTTAAGCCTTAGCTCACCTTAAGCTCAGTCCTCAAACAGGAGAGTGGACACTGGCGTGGAATGTTTCCTGTAGGAGTTTGATGTTGAGAAAGATCACTGTTGTAGCTTTGTACTGTATGGGTTAACCCTTCTGCTAGTATTAGAAATCTCTCTGGAAGCGAAAACTCTATGCTCTTCGTCTTTTATTCTTGGTTGTTTTGGGGGTCCCCAGATGGTGTGTCCTTGAGTGACTGATGTATTTCAGTTCACAACTAGCTCTTTGAAAGAACGCTTTTACTCCTAAATGGAAGATCTGACTTTTTGCTCTGTAAGGCTTTGTGCTATGGAAGTGACAGTTGTGTTTGGAAGGTCTGTACAGGGAGTTTCTCTCTGGGAGGGTCATCGTCTGCTGTCATCATTACTTGGAAATAGATTTTTACAATATGAGAATTAGAGATAGATTTTTATGTCTCCTAAAGTTACTTATATATTTATACTTTTTTAAAAGTTTCCATTTAACAATCTGTATTTTAGATATCTGTGAAAACCATTATTCAGGGGTTTGATGTCCATGTATTTTGCGAATTTTTAGTGACCAGGGTTCATTTCAGGAGTCTGAAGGGGATCTAAATAGCCTCAGTGGTTCATAAATGAGTAGGAATAGGTCCAGACAACATTCTCTGATATTCGGAAGTCTAATTTAAAGTGCCTGTGGCTTCCAGGTTTGCCTGCAGTTCTAATAGGCGGGGTCTTTCTTCAGATGGTAGCCCTTTCTCAGCCTTTGCCCTGTCGGCAGCTGCCCCGGCCCTCTCCCAGCTCCGCAGTGATTCTTCACTGCGGCATTAAAGGAGCACTAGAGACACCTCCTTAGTTCGTTGAAGGACTACATATTCCCTCTTTGTGGCCCCCGATTTTTCTCTTTTTAAAGCTGTTTCCTTTTTTTATAAAGCGGACCACTTCAAAATTAAAACTGCTTCTACACTTGGTAAGGCTGGGTTCTTTCCTTTAATCAAACCATATTTTGGAACTTTAATTGATAAATCTAATTGGAATCATCAAAGTCATCTTTTTATCCTGATGAATTGCTGGATCATGTGTTCCTAACCAGCCGTTTTTTCCAAGTGAGAAGTTCCTACTGCAAGGCCTGCTGGTAAACCTTGCTGTGTTCTTTCAAGCCAGGTGGCCATCAGATAGGCCCATGTGTTCAGAGTATCCTGCCTCCTCTCAGTGGGGCCTATCACTGTCCTTTAATCAGGCTAGAAGGTACACTTGAGCTTTTTCAGATAGTCCTTCTTTAAACCTGCGGGATCACAAGTAATCTTTTTAATTTTCTTGTGTCCGTCCGTCTTTAATTTCTCCAGATACTGCAGGCAAACAGCTCGCCGAGGTGTCCCATGGGGTTTAAAAGCCGCATCGAATGCAGTTGAATTAGCGCCCGTGGCGCAATCCCGCGGCCTGAAATGAACCCTGCGAGGCTGTGTATCAGAGGGTATGTTGTTAACTATTAGCCTATTTTCCTATCGGGCAAATTACTCGAACATTATGGAGATGGGGGCGAAGCTGATCGAGGCTGTGCAAAAAGATAGGCTTTTCTAGAAAGGATCTTTGGGGCAGACATCAGCTTTCAGCTTCACACTTTCCTTGGCCCAGAAGGGTGCCCTCCTGACTTCTCATCCTGATGGCATAGGTCCGCCCATGAAGTGTTCTTCCCTGAGATTTTGTTCTGTCGTGCCAGAGTTTCTCCTCAGAGTTCTTGATCTTGCCTCTCTGTTCGCAGTGTTTCGTCTGCACATGCTCATCAGTCTAAATTCAAGCAGATGTGGAGAGTGCTGCCTTCACGTACTTGTTAGGGGATTTTCCAGCGAGATCTTAGGTAGTTTGGGTGGACAAGTAACCTGCCTCTGGAAGTCTTTCCTCAGATTATGACATGAGCCTTTATAGGTCTTTGGTTTGGCGACTTATTTCTAACCTGATGTACTGTATGCCCTGTGTTTGTGATACTGTATTCAGAAATGAACAAAACCAAGGAGCACCCTTTTTTCTGAAGTAGAGTGATTTTAGGGGGGTAGGGTGGTTATATTATTCTGGTGGTTTCGGAGCCTTTGTATACAACAGTGTATCTTAGATGCAGAAAAACATGGAGTAATATCCCTTCCACAGTGGCACTAACCAAAGTTTTGACTCGCGTGGTGTAACAAACCTCTCGTCCTGTTGAACTGGAGGACATAACTGCAAGAAAAGGTCTGTGCGGTGGCGGCGGCAGCTGGTGTTACTAGTAGTGATATTAGTAAAGAAGACGTTTGACTCTGGCATAGGAAAGAAGAAATAACATTTTTTTAAAGATCTTATTTATTTATTTTTAGAGAGGGAAGGGAGAGAGAAAGAGAGTAACATCAATGTGCGGTTGCTGGGGTCTGTGGCCTGCAACCCAGGCATGTGCCCTGACTGGGAATCGAACCTGCGATGCTTTGGTTCGCAGCCTGTGCTCAATCCACTGATCTAAACCAGCCAGGAGAAATAACATTTTAAAAAGCTGATATTCCACTTGGTGACCAAGAAAGACCCTTAAAGATTAGATTCAACACCTTACTTAATTTTAGCTTGAGTGTTTTGCTTTGTTTTGATTTTTTGGCTGGCAAGTTTTGCCTTCATTGTCTGACCTGTGAAATATTTATACCAAGGTAATTCTTTTCTTCCCAGACCTCAGAATATATTATTCAAGCTTACAAATATGGTGCATTTGAGAAGATCCCAGAGTTTATCGCTTTTAGGAACAGGCTGAATAATTCTCTTCATTTTGCACAAGTCCGTACTGAACGGATGTTGTTAGACCTTCTACTTGAAGCAAATATGTAAGTATTGCATAGGAGCTAAGAAAAAACGAGGGATTATGTCAGAGGCTGCGAGTCCCCAGTGGGCCCATAGCTGACATCAGTAGGCTTAAGCTAAGGCAAATGGGAGAAAAGGAGAAAGTGTGTGTGGTGGGGCTTGGGGGAACAGGGAAGGAAGGGGGTGGAGCCTGGTACGTGTCCTGGGACTGAGAGAGCACTGCCGGTTCCACACAGAAGCAGCCAGGCTGTGGGCAGGATTGTGTTGACAAGGGTCCCTGCAAACATGGGGTTTCAGGGATTAACGTTGATCCACTTTATTGTGGTTGGGCTTCCAGATGCAGGTCAGCACGGTCTGTGCTTGGTTCTCTTTCACCTTATGCGAGCCTTTGTTTCTCACTAGTAAACCCTTCCTGCCTGCCTTTCTCCTTCCTTCCCTTTCTTTCTAGTAAAACAGAGTCCTAGCTAACACGTTTTTATGGCTGTCTTATTACTGAAACAATACATGAGTACATTCTCTGTGTCACAGATCAGTCAGCTTAGCAGAGAGTATCAAGTCGATGAGTCTCCGGCCGGAAGAAGATGACATCCCGTGGGAGGCCTTGCGGGACAACCGGGACTTGAACGTGTTCTTCAGCTGGGACCCGAAAGACAGGTGACTTGCACGTGACCTCAGGCAGTTTATTTCTAAAGAATCTGCATGAATCTAATGCACATAAATATGATAACATGTTTGTCATAAGGATCAGAAAATATAAATAAGCCATAGTAAGAAAATAAACCTGGCCCCTGAGTTGGGATTGCTGGCTAATCTGAAAGTTAGATCCTCCTTCGTAGCATCTGTGAGAACAGACTCCAGATAAATTGAAGATTGTGTTAAAACTTCTTAGACATTCTAAGAAAATATAAAATATAAAAAAATGGTTGGGGAAAGCCTTTCTTAGCATTACATCAAATCTGGAAACAAACAGTTTGACCTTTGTAAATATTAACCTTTATCTAAAAGTAAATTTGTTAAGTTCTAAAGCTATGTGCTAAGTTGGTAAATTTCTTCATATATATTAATATCCTTCATATACAGAGAACAATCAATCAGAAGATAACCAGAAAACATTGTATAAAGGGCTTATTAACAGGAAGTTCAAAGAAATGTATCTTGTAGCAATAAAGATTTTTTTTAGCCTATCAGACAATGATAAAAAAAGAGTAATATATGTGCTCAGCAAGATTGTGGGAAAATGTTTGTTGTGCATTTACATGGGGGTAAACCTTTATGTAACCTTCTCTGACCAGGGAATTTTAGTGATATGTATCAAGGTTGAAGATTCCATTTACTATTTGGTTCGGCAGTTCCACTTCTAGGAAAGTGGGACCTGAGGGAACAGGTGCACAAACACGCAGGTACATGTGTATGAGGTAGTTCTGAATATGCCGTGATTTAGTGATTTGCTAGGACTTGTGGGACTCAGCATGTAGTTGGCACTCACAGGGTTTGTTATAACAAAAGGGTACATGACAGGATCAGCAACGGAAAAACACACAGCTGGAGTCTGGAGAATCCCATGCACAGACTTCCAGTGCCCTCTCTCTCCGGCGAAGGGCCATACCAAGTACACTGCTTTCTTCTTCATGAAAAATACAGTATGTTTGTGCAATATTTCTGCTTAGAGAAGCTCTTAGAAGGATGGTGCCTAAGGTTTTTGTCAGCTGATTACGTAGGCACCCTCTGTCTAGCCTATACCAGTATTACAGACTCCCCGAAGAAAGGCAGGTGTTCGCCATAAACCACAGGGTTTGTACAGAGAGTCTAGGCACCGGGAGCCACTCTTACCATTTAGAGAGTGGTTGGCGCACCAAGTGTCCGGACACCAGCCAAGGGTCTCCTTGCAAGCAGCCCTTCTAAAGGTCACAGCTCGGGCTTGCTGGGCTGATTTTTTTCTGCACACACTATCATAAACACATGCAGTTTGGAAAATAGTATGAATACTGTGAACCCGTCTATGTGTTTAAAATCAGTTATATGAGTATTTTTAGTTGCATTTCATTCCTCTATTGCAAAAATCTGAAAGGATCTATAAAAGCTTGTTAATATGGTGGGTGCTTGATTATCAGGGAACGTTTTCCTATTTTTTACTTTTCTGTCATTTGAAATTTTTATATCATGTATTTTATCATCAGAAAAGTTTCACTTAAGGGGGAAAAATAACCTGTTAAGTAGGTTATCATTCCCATTTGTGGATATCAAAATGCAGACTTGGATGATTTGGGTGTAAGATCGTTGAGCTGGTGAATGGAAGCCGGAGCCATTCAAAGGCATCTTGTCTAATGAAAGTGAACTTTGAAGGATTTAAAGGCAAAAACATTGAGTAAAAGGGATGGTTTGGGGATTTTTTTTAAAGGGATGTTTCTGAAGAACATAAGAAACTTTCTTTGGAGGAGGAGACCATGTGGTTAAGAATTCGTTCCTTAACACTGAGGCTGATCAGTGGCCTTCCAAGTCTGAACCACCCTGTGGAGCCAAAGAACTCCGAGAAGACCACTGAGAATGGTGTGCCCTCCAGGATTGATATTCTTCGTTTGCTCCTTCAACAGCTGGAGGTGGCCCTGGAGACAGGAAAGCGATTTATTGAGAAGGAAATTCAGGTATCATCAAAGTGTATTTTTTAATCAGCGCCACAGTAATCTATGACTGTCTTTTTAAACATAGGAATCTGGGGTGAGTCAGTAGTAAAGAGCAGTATTCTGACCCAGTTTAGGATATCTGCAGGGAAAAGGCAAGTATTACAGACTTGGGGAGTTGCAGAGGCTGGCTTAATATCCACACTGGAGCGTGAGGAAAAGCAAAATAGCTCAGTTTTTGTGGTGGTAAATTTTTAATAGCTCTCTATTTTCACTATAATGATTTAATTATTGTTTTAGTCCCTGTTAAAAAAATTCATGGTTATGCTTTCCATGGTTACAGTTGGCTACCTGCAGTCAACTACAGTCTGAAAATATTAAATGGGAATTTCCAGAAATAAACAATTTGTAAGTTTTAAATTGCTTGCTGTCCCGAGTAACATGATGAAATCTCACCCTGTCCCATCCCACCCCGTCCTCCCTGGAGCACAGATCATCCCTTTGTCCAGCATCCCACGCTGTATGCACGCCTGCCCCTTAGTCACTTGTAGTTGTCTCAGGTATCAGGATGTTGGAGTAACCCTTATTTTACTTATCAATGGCCCCAAAGCACAAGAGAAGTGATGCTGGCAATTTGGATGTGCCAAAGAGAACCTGTAAAGTGACAAGGTGAAAGTTCTCAATTTAATAAAGAGAGGAAAAATCGAAGGTTGCTGAGATCTCCAGGAAGAACAAATCTTCTATGTAAAGAAGGACAAAGGAAATTTGTGCTGTTTCTCTTTTGCACCTCAAACTGTACAAGTTATGGCCACAGTGTGTAATAAGTTCTTAGTTAAGGTGGAAAAGGCGTTACATTTATGGGTGGAAGACATGAACAAAACGCCTGTTCTGATTGCTGGCAGTGTGTTGCTCCAGAAAGCACTGAGCTAAGGGACCCCTGAAACGAGTCACCACATTCATTTCACTGTCGTTATGGTATATTGTTATAATTGTTCTATTTTATTTTAGTTATTGTTGTTAATCTCTTGCCTAATTTATAAATTAAACTTTATCATAGCTATGCATGTATAGTAAAAGATGGTATATATAGGGTTTGGTAGTATCCACAGTTTCAGGCGTCCATTGGGGTCTTCGAATGTATCTCCTGTGGATAGGGGGAGGGGGATTACTATGGTTTGCTGATCAGTGGTTTGCAAGTTATTCACTAACAGATTTTTATGCAGTAGTTATAGTCCTTTGTTTTCTTATTTTGTATGAGTTTAGATGAAGTTAAAGAACATTACTTTTTTCCTTTCTTTTCCAGTATCCTTTCCTTGGTCCTGTGCCTACCAGAATGGGTGGCTTCTTTAACTCTGGCTGTTCTCAGTGTCAGACCAGTTCTTTTTATCTTGTTAGTGATGTTTATGAGCTGGATACCAATGGTTTAGGTAAGTGCACATTTACATGAGTGTATTCATTTACTGGGGTCTTTGTCATTGCAACATTATACTTAGTAAATGCAACAGAATATCTAAATTCGTTATTTGGAAATATTTGGAAGAGATGGAAGCTGGAAGTTGTTCTGGTTTAACATACAAGAAAGTATATTCAAAAGATACAAAGTAATATTTTAGAAATTTAAATTTAAGTCTTTTCCATATTTGAAGTCTTTATTAGGTTTAACATACAAGAAAGTAATTCAAAGGTTACGAAGTAATGTTCTAGAAGTTGAAATTTTAAGTCTTTTCCATATTTGAAATCTTATTAGGTTCAAAAGTTGAAGAAACAAATTCTTGATTTGTTAAAATATTGTTAGACTTCAGATTGAATTCTTTATTTAAAAATGAAGCCCTGCCCTGAGCATTATGGCTCAGTTGGCTGGGCATGTCCCTCAAAGTGAAAGGTGGCGGTTTGATTCTACTCAGGGCACACGCCGGTTGCGGGTTTGGTCCTCTATTGGGGGCCTATGAGAGGCCATCGATACTTCTCTCTCACATCGATGTTTCTCTACCTTTCTCCATCCCTTCCCCTCTCTTTAAAAATAAATAAATAAAATCTTTTTTTAAAAAATGAAGCCCTTGGCTTTGTGGAGAAGAGTCTTTTTCTAAGCTTTGAATCCAGTGATAATCACAAATATCCTACAGACTGTGCCTTTTTTTCCCTTCTGAATCATAAGGTTATACATCCTGTCACTTAGAGTATTTGAAACACAGATTTCTAGTCCTCCCAGAGAATTTTAGGTAGAAAAAGAAAGTAATTAACACCTTTCTTTCTCTTTTTTTGTCTTTCCCTTTTTCTTTTTTCAGTTTCCTTTCCTTTCTGTCATCTTTGTCTCCACCTCTCAGTAATAGAATTTAGATGCCTACGGCTCTCAAGAGAAAACAAAATGTTTTTGCCATGTGAAGGTATTAAGCTTGCTAAAAAAAAGTGAATGTTTTTCACTGTTTTTTGTTTGTTTGTTTGTTTGTTTGTTTTAGATGATACGATGGAGATCCAGGAGCGAGTAGAGAATAGTTTTAAGTCTTTATTACAACAGTTAAAAGGTAAGCGATCTTACTGTGGATTCCCCTTGGGTATCTGATAATAGTTCAGTTTTAAAAATTGAAACTTGTAAGAAGATTTGAAAGTATTGCATACTTTTGGTATGTTTAAAGAATTGTTTTTAATCTTAAAAGTTTTGATTACAAAACTAGTAGATGCCTATCATAAAACAGCAACAAGTGTGTGTGGTCTTTTCCCCTTTCCTAGACCCCTTCCCTCAAGGCCAAGTAAGAACTGTGGATGCTTTGGAGTCCATACTCCTAGATGTTACCCGAAGTATATGGAAATGTGTACTAGTGATTATTTTTAGCGTATGAGAAGGAATAATACATGCTTTTCTGAGTATTTTTTTAAAGATTTAATTAATTTATTTATTTTCAGAGAGAGGGGAAGCGGGGGAGAAAGAGAGGGAGAGAAACATCAATCATTTACCTCTCACATACCCCCAACTGGGGACCCAGCCCCCACACCCCCAACCAGGTACCTGCCTGCAGCCCAGGTGTGTGCCCTGACAGGCCATTGAACCCACGACCCTTCAGTTTGCAGGCCAGTGCTCACTCCACTGAGCCACACCTGCCAGGGCTGACTGTAATTTCTTACTGCCTTGGACATCTTACCATTTCAAATATATATATAAAATCTTGGTAATCTCTGCACGCGCGCGCACACACACACACACCATTCATTGGTCTTACATCAGTGTACCAAATTTATTTATGTATCCCCCCCATTGAATATATATTATGCATTCGAGTTATTTGTAGCAATATTTATAACGTATATTTATAACAACGCTGAAATGAACATCTTGGGATACAAGTTTTTGGCTACTTATTTGATTATTTTCTTGTTATTCTTAGAAAAGGAATTATTTGATAAAAGGGTACAAATACCATTTTAAATCTCTAAGGGTCTTTCTGTTCGGGATTCTGAACAGTCTCTTATTGCTGTAATGAAGAATGATCATTAAAAGATAATCATGATTATGAGAATCAAATGTGGTGTTTGTTATGAAGGTGCATTTCTACCACGTACATTAGTCTTGTAGTCCTTGACGGCACAAGTTCTTCTAACTCATTCACTTGGAGTCTTAATTTTATTGTGCCCTGTTGGGAAAAGGCTTAGACCCCAGAATATGGAATTTATAAAGCTACCTTTTCTGTTTTGAAGACAGTAGAGCAATAGTCATGTGGCTTTTTAAAGAACTTGACACAGATATTCTGTGGTGTTTGGTTTATTGTGCATGAGGGGAGGCTTTCTGGATTAAGCTTTTATATTTGCTTATTCTTTAGTAGATTGTGCATTGTATTCCTAAAAATAATACTGAAACAAAAGTTGTATAAAACCAGGAGATATTTTTCTGTTTGCAGACGTCTTCAGTAAATGTAAAGGTGACCTGTTGGAGGTTAAAGATGGTAACTTGACAACACACCCTACTCGTTTAGAAAATCTCGTCTTCTTTGCTGAGGTATGTTTGTTTTCTTCCTGAAACTCTAGACTTTCCTTAATTGTATACAGGATTGATTTTTTTTCCTTTTTAAAAAAATATTGTATTTATTTATATTTAGAGAGAGGGGAGGGGAGAGAGAAAGAAAAGAAGAGAAACATCAATGTGTGGTCACCTACCATGCATCCCCCCACTGGGGACCTGGCCCGCAACCAGGCACGTGCCCTGACTGGGAATCAAACCAGCGACCCCTTGGTTTGCAGGCCAGCACTCAATCCACTGAGCCACACCAACCAGGGCGGGATTAATTTTTTTTAAATAAAGAGATATTAGGCACCATATACCTATTACTTAATCCTTCACCCCTGACTTTTGTTAATTGAAAAACAGTTCGTCTTTTTCTGAGCCAACTCCTTCCAGGCATATACCAAGATTTCATTCCAAATGCTTAGGTAAACTCCTTGAAATTTGCTTTACTCATCTTCAAAGATCTGATCCACTTCAGATCTAGATGTTTTCTGTTCATTTTTCTTTTTGACTCAGCTGTTATTTAGTGTAAATTAATTCCTCCAGCTTTAATGTGTTGTTGCTATACTCTAATTACTGAGATTCTACATTATGAAGAAGAATCCAGGATCTGATATAGCAAAACTCTCATCCTTTTTAGCAGAAAAAGGAGAAGGATCCCAAACACTCATAATCCATTACCTTTTCTTTAATTTTTGTGGCATGTGTATTTACTTTTCTTCCCCCACTGGTCTGTCAGCTTCAGGAGGGCAGTATTCTGTGTTCTGGTGACTGGCACATTGTGAGTGCCTTAGATACACTTAATGAATGAATGAGTAATAAATAATTGCACGTGTATGTACATGCATACACTGTAGCATAGGAGAAGACATGTAAACATTAAACACTAACTTAATACAGAGGATATTTGTTGACCAGCTGGGGAGATTCTCCATATATATTTCAGTTAAGGTTTGCAGGTAAGGTAGTATCTTACCTGGCTGGACAGGATGGGAAGAGACTTATTGTAAAGAACCTTTGGATTCCATGTTGAGGAATTGGGAGTTTTCACTTGAGTGAAAAGGATGTTAATACATCCCACTTCCTGTAGGGAAGAGAAGGGAAGTCGGATCCTGTGGACGATGATGGGTTTAGAGCTGGGAAAGCCTGAAGGAAGAGTTAAGCTGTTAGAGCATTCTAAGCGGAAGATGACGAAGGCCTGGATGGGTGTGGCGATCACAGAAATCAGAGAGTGGAGAGTTAGAGGAGAAAGCGAGGGATTTGTTCAGAAGAACTGTCCATTTCTTGTTTAGTCTATTACATTGAACTGTTCCTGATAGTTGCTTTGAGCGTAATCCTTATTCATGAATTTGCAATTTTTTTCTCTTTCAGACTATTTCTATTATCCTTTGGGTGTCCAGTTACTGTGAGAGTGTCCTGAGACCATACAAATTAAATTTACAGAAAAAGAAGAAGAAGAAAAAAGAAACCAGCATCATTATGGTAATAACAGAGAAAAGACAAGTAATAATCGGGCTGCTTTTTCTTTTTACTGTTGTCCTGCGTGTTGTAAGAGACCTTATGATCCATCTGCATTTATTTTCTCTCCCCAGCATTCTTTTTAAGTTACACACCTACAGGGAAGCTGAAAGACTCATGTAATGACACCCAAATATCCTTACCCAGTCTCACCACTTGTTAACTGTTTGCTACATTTGTTTATTTCTCTCTCATTCTCCCTTGCTCCCGCCTTAGTTAGTTGAACCATTTGAAAGAAAAGTACGGACTTCATAATATTTAGCAAACCAGGATAGAGCAGGCAGTCTCCTACAAAAAACACAGTACTCAAGAAATTGAGTATTGGTACAATAATTACATCCTTTATAGCCTTTTTCAAAATACTAGAATTCTACTAAGGATCTGACATTTTTTAAATCTGACACTTCCTTAGCCTATTGTTTTTTCTTTATTGTTGAAGAGTCCAGCTAGGATTTAGATAGAATGTCCTACAATCTAGATTGGGCTAATTTCCTCAGGTTTAGATTAAACGTAGATATTGTGTCTTTTTCAGCAAATTAAGTCAAGAGGCATTAATGTAATGTCCTGTTATTGGTGATTTCAGGTTTAATTATTTGATAAAGGAAGTGTACTGGATGTCTTTATTGTAAAGGAGCCTTTCCCCCCTTTAATTAATAAGTAATCTATGGGATGATGCTTTGAGAATAAATATCTCAGTTTCTACCAGCTTTTCACCCACTGGTTTTAGCATCCATTGTTACTCTAACTTGCATGAATTATCACTACATTGATGGTTCCACAGTGGTGATTTTTAAAAATTCTGTCAATCTATTATCTTTATTAGATGGTATTATCCATATATATGCATATTTGGATATGCATATATATATATTTATATATATTTGTATATAAAAATATACAAATATTTTTAATATCACCATCTATTTGAGGATCCCTGTGGACTCATTCTCTTTTAAATTTACCTTATAAGACAATGTCATCATTTTCTTTTGGATGTCCAAATTTGTCTTGTGGGAGTCACTTTAAGCTGGTACCTGTCCTTGAACATGTCCTCATCTATTTTTGAGCCCTCATATTTTAGAACAGCAAAAATGATCCAAGCACTTTGTACATTCCCACTGAACTGAGCTGAGACATTTTTTCAAGGGACCCTGGATCCTTCATGGGGAATGGTACTTCAAAACCAAGATCTAGGTGTTAGGGGTACTAATTGCTATTAGGTGTCATAATTTCTAGTTTATGTCAGTAGAGAGAGAGACAGGAAATTTATTACCCACACCAGCACACACAGAGTTTTAAATAATTCATTCCGACTGATACCTCCAGCTCCGGTCCAACATCACGGTTGTTCCTTCCCTTCCCTCTCTCATTGCACATTTGTAGCTTCCTTTTCACACAGTGAGAACCCTGTTTCCCAACAGCAGCAAAATGTTTGTTCATTTGCTGTTTAACAATAAATACCAAGTAGTTTTTGGAATTAGTCCAGTTCTACTAATAGTTCCAATAACAAACCCATTAATAAAGTTCAAATTTTTTGCCCTGGTTGGCGTGGCTCAGTGGATTGAGCACAGGCTGCGAACCAAAGCATCACAGGTTTGATTCCCAGTCAGGGCACATGCCTGGGTTGCAGGCCACGGCCCCCAGCAACCGCACATTGATGTTTCTCTCTGTCTCTCTCCCTCCCTTCCCTCTCTAAAAATAAATAAATAAAATCTTTAAAAAAGAAAAGCATCTCTTTAAGAAAAACCTGAGACTATGTTATTAGTGGGATGTAAATAAAGTTCTTGTATTTCTGCTTGTGTTCTATTTTGGTGTCTTCTCTCATCTTTATTGTTTTAATTTTATTTTTGAATATGTGAAATATTTGCATAATTTGTATTTTTTAAGGAAAGTTATTTAGGATTTATTATGCACATGATATGCTATCTTATTAATGTTTGAATGTATCCTATCATTATTAATGGGAGGTTTTTGTTCACTATAGCAAAATAGTTATTAACCACTGTTATTTGAAAATGTTGATGGTTTTAGTAGTAATGTTGATTTCCTGCATGATTCAGTAACAATTCAGGAATAACAAATTCAGGAATTCTTTTTTTTTTTTTTAAGATTTTTAAAAAAGATTTTATTTATTTATTTTTAGAGAGGGAAGGGAGGGAGAAAGAGAAAGAGAGGGAAACATCAATGTGCAATTGCCGGGGTCTGTGGCCTGCAACCCAGGCATGTGCCCTGACTGGGAATCGAACCTGGGACACTTTGGTTCTTAGCCCTTGCTCAATCCACTGAGGTACACCGGCTAGGGCAGGAATTCTTTAGCTTTGACACTGTGTTGGGTGTTACCATTCATTCGAAAACAAAGTATGCTTGGACTGCGATGAGAGACTCACGAAGGACCTCCTCTCAGTCACTGTGATGATGATAATTTAACACTCGAGAGTGCGAAGTCCGAAAGTAGATCAGGGGTGCTCTGGTACTCCCTGCTGATGGAAGCCGACACTCCGAGAACTTGTTAAATAGCTTTTTGGTATTTGGATTTTGTGGGGTTTGTAGTTGTTGCTTTCTAGTTTCCAAAAACAAAAATAGCTTACCTATTTTTATGATTATCAAAGTAACCTAAGGGTGTAAATAACCTGAAGGTCACCCATATTCCCACTGACCACTGCAAACAAAGCAGAATTGAGTTCTACAGGTTCTGCAACTTCCTTTCTTGGTTTGTTTGTTTTCATTTAATAGGATATCTTGGACATCTCATTTCAGCAAATATCTGTGTTTCTCATTACTTTTTTTTTATTGTTTTAATCATTGTTCAGGTACAGTTTTCTCCCTTTTACTCCCATTCCAGCCCACCCACCCATCCCTCCCCACTTCCCTCCCATTACCACTCTCCCCTTAGTTTTTGTCCATGTGTCCTTTAAATTTGTTCCTGTTGTTTCTTACTTTTAATAGTTTGATGAATATTTGGTTTGTTCTAATTTTTTAATAGCAGCATTATAAGTTATGCTGCTATTAAAATATGGACAAATACACAAAGAGGAATGTGTGCTATGTTTTTCTTACGATATCTCTTTGATCTGAAGTTGCTATGTGTGCTCATCTTTACATTAGTGCTGAGTGTCTGTATCCTTACCCATCTGATAGGTAAACAGTGCTATTCCTTTTTTTCTGATTTGCATTTTTAAAAATTCTATTGATAATGAACCTTCAAAGAAGACTTCTCAAGTGAAAAGCTGACCTTATTACTTGACTGGCTAGTTTTCTTGTTACCTTTTTTTTTTTAATTGTATCATTTGCTGGGATTTCTTTGCATTGTTTTTTGTTCTGACTTTGCCCAGGTTTCCTGTGGTGGTAGTAATATTTTTCCTGTTGATATATTTTGAGCTTTGGGCTCTTAACATAATAGTGTTATTAATTCTCTGTCATAGATGATTCAGTTTTTTCCAGTTTGTCATTAGTCTTTTAACTTGGGTGATTTTTTTTGTCACTGTAGTAATTAAAAAAAGATTTTTAAAAATGGTTCCTAACTTAGTATAATATTTACAAAGGAACATCCAATTTATGATTGCAGAAGTCATTCCCTAAATTTTCTTCTGGGACTTTCATGGATTTTTAAAAAATATATTATCTGGAATTAACTTTGGTATTTACTATTTTGTATGTCAGAAATGGTAGCTAGTTATCTCAGTACCATTTATCCACTTGAAATCACTGTTTTGAAATGCTATCATTCACATTCTCTTACATTTTTCGGTCTGTCTGGGAGTTGTTTATTTTCACTTTGTCAGTTTAGTTATATGCCAGTACCCTCTGGATGCCATGTAAGCATAGTACACTCTGATATCTTTTAGGGCGAATCCCCCTAACTACCCTTTTCAGAATTCTCTTAGCTGTGGTCACCCATTATTTTTCTGTTAGAACTTAGACTGCTCTGTTCTGTTGTCAGCACTGGAGGGGATCTCAGAGACAGAGAGAGAGGAAGTGAAGTCTTGGCTCCTCTCATCACCGTAGTGTCCGGGAGGGTCTCAGCCTGGAGTTCAGTGATGACCAACCAAGACATTTTTCTATCGGAATTTCGCCTGTAGTTTCCCAGGGTGAACTGAAATCCCATTTTAAAAAATGCTCAAGTCATTGTTGCTGAGTTAGCATTATTTGCTGGCAATTAAATTTACCAAGTTTTTAGAGACTGTGTTAATTCCCAAAACAGTAAGACCCCTATTACTGTTAATAGCGTTAAGTAATGCTCTGGTATGGAATCCGTTAGTATAGCTTATATGATGTAAGCACGGCAAATTTGTTTCTAATCTTTCAACTTTTTAAAAATCTTTTTTTCAGCCACCTGTCTTTACCAGTTTTCAAGACTATGTTACTGGGCTTCAGACTTTAATTTCCAATGTTGTGGATCATATTAAAGGGCTTGAAACTCATCTAATTGCACTTAAACTTGAAGAACTTATTTTAGAAGACACTTCTCTCTCACCGGTAAGAGAATGTAGGCGATCAGTAATAAGCCGTGTTTATGAAAACACATGTTCTTACCCTTACCACAAGGACACGTTAATTTTAAATTTCTTATTCTCCCCTCACAGGAGTTGTGATTAGAAGGTGCCTGCAATAGTCGTTTGTCATGTTGGGGGGTGGGAGTGGTGGATTCCTCTCCTCCTTTATTTCCACCCTGTTGCCCACCCCACCCCCCCTCGGGCCCAGCCCATCCCTTCTTTCTGGACATTGTGGGGGTTGTTCTTTTACCATGAAAACTAATGATGAATTGGTGAGGAGTAGAGTTAGCACTGTCCCTGTTTTGAGGAACAGAGGAAACCGGATATATTTTTGCAATTCAGGGACAGTCTCCTTGAGTGAGAATTTACCTGCCACTGGGCTGGCTGGCTTCTTTGCCACCCTAGCGGTTATTACTTGAAAAAGGAGAGATGCTGGACATCAGAATAATTATGTCATAATAATTAGGGTAGAGCAAGCTAGCCAAAAAAGGAATGGAACCAAGTGTAGAGTCAAACATAGAAGTCATCAGATTTTTCCTGATAGTTATTTCAGACTGGTTTCTTAAAATTCTGTTAGCAAAATCCCTGTAAAGTCTTGCCTTTCAAATGTGGGTTCTTTTAAAAAATTAAATACATGAAGTTTTCCGTCTGAAATAATTGAAGATTTAAAGGTGTCCTGGAGTAGGTTTAGGGTTTTGATAGAGGCCAGAAGGACAGTGGCGATACCCGCCATTTCTCGGGAGTGCCCCAGTGATGGAAGTCGGATCTTGAGGGACCGCTGCCCTCGAGCGTTCTCTGACCTGAGGGAACCCGCCCAGTGATCGAAGGGCAGCCAGCATCCTAGCCCCAGACTGAACCAGGAGAGGGAAGGCAGGGAACCCTGTCACGCACACTGGCTGCAAGGACTGCAGGCTCCTCTTCTGTGCAGCTGCAGCCCAGAGCGGTGGGAGGGCTCGCTGTGGGTGTGGGCGGAGAGCTTTCCATGGGCCCGAAGGCTGACTGAAGGGAGCAGACGTGTATTGAGATGGTGAACTAGAAGTTTGGTTTTAGCCTGGTAAGCTGTATGTTCAGTGGTGATTGATTAGAAGTACTAATTAATGAATTGTTTAATTCTTTGGTATTTTTATCTTCTTTTTTTAAGCCTTTGTTTTGAAAGTAAAATATGCCCATGGTAAAAAAAAAAAAAACAAAGGGTAAAGAAAGAACACAGCGAAATGTCTCCCTCCCACTCCAACCTGCTCCCTAGTTAGTTCCCTTTCCAAGAGGGAACTGCGATAGTCAGTAGTTTTTCATCTAACTCTTCCTGAGTCAGATAAGTCATCTACAAGCCTATTGTGTCTGTTTCCCTCCCCCCACCTCCTGTCTTTAAATACAAGTGGTATCATCCTATACACATTGGTTTGTCTTGCATTTTTGTACTTAGTCTGTAGGAGACCATTATGTATGAACAATTATCTACTTTATTTTTGTAATTATCAGATAATATTCCATTATTTCTTTACATACAAACGTTTGTTTGTTTCAAGAGAATTAGAAAAGAGAATAGTACCTCCCAGTTCCCAGCCTCAAATCAGTCCCTGTCCAGCCACCCAGAACCATCCCCACCTCTCCCTCTCGTCTGTTCCTGTAGTAAATGCATTTGTATCTGCCACTGGCCTTCCTGACTTCCTGGCAGTTGCGGACCCAGTAAAGGCTCAGTGACTGAATCCTAGAGAGGTCGGCACCTCCCAGGTAGGGTTCTCGCCTTCCACCTCCCACCTGAGAGACACTTGCTGGTTCTTTGGAACACTTTTACATGTAAAGAAATCTGGTCATTTATAGCTGTAACTTCTTACTTTTTAGACCAAATCCAAACTCATTCTGTATTTGAAACTCATATCCCCTTTCCTGAATACTATAGAAAAACAAAAACTGAAAATTACAGTACTTACCCTTAAAAAAAAATCTTAAAGATTTCACACTTGAACAAATGTCACATTGCTTCATATAGCTGGGCTTTGCTGGGTATCTTTGAGATTTTTAATAAGTAGACACAGATTTATTGAGCACGCTGTAATTGGGCTGAGGGCTTGTAGAAATAGAGTGGTCAAAGACCCGGCTGTAGAGAGATACAGATTGATTTGAAGATACAACATAGGCACAAAGATCTGAGCTAGTCTAAAAGGCTTACCAGGGAAGGGACATCTGAGGACTGAGTTCTCACCGGGCAGACAGGAGTGGATTAAAGGGATTCCACACAGGAGGAGGCAGACACAAGCTGGAAGCAGGGACGGGAATCGTGCGGGGCGCCACACGTGAGTCAGCCGGCCGGCAGAGCCCGGGACACGTGGTTTGTGGGAAGGACGGTCGGGCGAGGAGGCGACAGGCACCACACACAGCTCTGCTGTTGGGGCTGTGAGTGGTGGTTCTTCTTTAAAGATCTGTCTGCCTCCTAAAACGAAGAATGAGATTTCTCTTGTTCAGTGCTCTGGAGGTTATCCTGAACTTGGGGCTGCTCTAGAGTCTCCCAGCTTTGTGGGCCTGTCTTCTTTTGACCTTGGGAGAGTCGCTTAACCTTTGGGTTGCAATCTCTTTGCAAGATGAAAATCATAGTACTACCTACTTTGTAGGATTATAGTGAGGATTAAATAAAATAATAATGGCCTTTTATTGCCTACTCTTTTTTTTTTTACTGCCTACTTTTGTTGAAGTGTGTGTGTGTGTGCGTGCGTGTGTGCGTGTGTGTGTGTGTGTGTGTTCATGCACACTGAGCAGCACCATCCGTCAAATGCAGGATTCAAACAGTGCTGGGTACTTGTCTTTTGAGTTAAAAAAAAAAAATCTCTCCAGTTTCCTTCAGGTCACTTCTTTCCTTCCTTCCTTCCTACACCTGAAACACTGAGAGGGAGGCCTGCGGGGTCCCCCTTCGAGGGCTGCTGGCCCCTGTCCTGCTCCCTGGGGACAGCCACTGAAGCTGGCTGTGTGCCAGGGCCCCTTTGTTTTCCCCATTTGTACTCACAGGGAAAACCCACAGTATTATTTGTATCTTTAAAAAACCATCTGGTTTTAAGATAAATTTGTAATGTGCTCTACTATCTGTTAGTTTTTAAAAGTAAACAGTGTACTCGGTTTTATCCTGAAGCTTGGCTTTTTTTCACTCTCCGGTACACTCCAGAGGTCTGTTCAGACTAACACATACAGGTCAACCTTGTTCTTTAAGCAGCTGTTCAGTATTCAAAATACGAATGCACCCCAGCCCCTGGACATTTGAATTTGTTTCCGTAATTTGCTTTTACATAGAGTACTGGATATAATGTATTTGTACAGACTTTCTTACGCACATTTGTACTTTTGTGGTAGATGAGATCTCAAGCATTACTGTTGGGCCATAAGATGTGCTTACTTGGTTTCTTCTAGGCTTTGGAACACCGCCAGCTTCATGTAAACCAAACCAGTTCCCTGTCAGCCTCCTCTCTCTGTTTGAACGCTCCAGCCCTTTCTTTTCTGTGGTCTCCACCTGCAGGTCCGACGAGCCGCAGATGGGTAGCTCTCATACTGGAGTAGGCTTGGGAATGCTTTGGTCTTTTTCAGGTGTTTGGCCTCTGGAACCCATGGACTTCTCAGTGTGGAGGGAGACCTGTTAATGTTGTAGCTAAAAAAGATAATAATGGTAAACTGGATGCCTTTAAAAAGTGGCTGTGATGTGTCCAGATTCATAATAAATTTCTACTGTTTTTCTCTGATGAAACTAATGATCAGAAATCTAATTTTTTCCCCTTTGCACAGCTCATGACAAAAGAGTGATTTCATGTCCAAACTGGTAATAATTTCCTACCTTTTTTATGTCAGCTTCTAATTAGAAATATCAGTTTTTTGGCTTTATATAACTTATAATAAAGGTTACTTGAAAGAATAGTATTTCTAAAAAACAGTCTCAGTGGAAAATCACATGGAAAAATATGTATTTATAATGAGCTTTAGCCTTTGAGTTTTATGAAATTGAAAATGACTCACCCTATTCTGATGGAGATTTCAGTGGGACCAGAGGTAACGCTAACTTTATTTTTGCAGAACTGGAATCGGGGGAATCGCCTTCTGAGCAGGACCATTAATTCTTGTCTCCTTTGTAGGAAGAGAGAAGGTTTTCAAAGACTGTGCAAGGGAAGGTGCAGAGCAGTTACCTGCACTCACTTCTGGAAGTTGGGGAGCTGCTGAGAAAAAGACTTGAGACCACAAAGAAACTAAAAATTTAAGGAAGTGGGAGACACGGGCACTGATGACTGCAGCAGGAAATGGTATCATCTCCCAGGCAAAATCTACATCTGGTTGAGCACCATTTTAATCCAGAACTTCCTCATAATGTGCATGAAGGACTTTGATCGTGAATTAATTTTTTAGGTATTAAATGTGTACAACTGATTAAATTATTGTATATAAACCGGAAGCAGGACCCTCATTGGGTTTGACCACTTTTTATACATGTTCATATGCATATGGCAGCCACAAGAGAACCCCACTTTTCTTCTGCCCTACTGCCACTGGCGACCTCTGGTGGGGGAGGGTCCTATAAAAGCAGCAATAGAAGTTAAGCATAAATCATCGACCTCAGAGCAGCTGAATGGCCGTACCATTATAGCAGCTGTGGACATTTTGGTCTGGTCCTTGAGCATTAGGACGCAGAAAGGAGAAGCAGAGGCAGGGGCCAAGACTGGGAGCAGGCCCTCTTTCCACGTCGGCAGTTTAGTTTTGAGGCTTGCCCAGCTGCTTGGCTCCCACAGAACCCGAGGCAGGTACCCAAAGGGCCTCAGATGAAGTTTGGCATAAGCACCAGCCACCGAAAGGCACCCTCAGACAACCACAGGCGCTCGTTTTTGTGCTTAGTCCTAACAGCCAAGACACCCCCATCCTGCTCCAGGAGCATTAGATCAGACAGGCTTCTGTTAACCACCGCTGTGTGGAGGGGAAAGCAGTATAGACCACTTGGAACAAACCTGCTGAGGACTAGCTTGCTGTCTTTCATCCTTTCGGGGAAAGTGGGGATCACTTTTAAAGAAAAGAAGTGTTCATATTTATGCAGGCAAGTGGAATACCAACGTCATTGGTTTTGTGAGATACATATATATATATATATGATATGCTTTTACATGTATATGTGTATTTTCAAGCATATGTGTGTGTATGTGTATATATATATATATGCTTGAAAATAAAGATATACTTTAGTTTTTTTTTCTTTTTAAGTGGGGGGTTTGGGAAGGAAGGAAAGAAGGAATGTATATTATGGACTTAATCTAGGTTTTAAGTTTTAGGCTGGCAAAAGAAATGTTACCTATTGGTTTGGAGGTTCAGTTTACTTCAAACTTGAGAATTGCACCAGGATGGTGTTTACGTCGTTCACCTGGAGCCCCTAAGGCCATGGCTTCTGAAGTCAGTCTGACAGAAAAGATAAACGTTGCTCTTGAAAATGTTACACAGTTTATACCATTGCTTTGATAACGTGTTTGTGTTTGAGTCCTTGCTTCTGTTTTTGGTCTTTGTTACCCAAATACTGTTCAAGTTGGTAATTTTGTAAGAGCAGAGAAATGAATTTGATGAAGAAATTCAAGCATCTGGTGGAGGACTGGTTTTGAAGACCTTAAAAGTCCTTTTCAACTCACTTCTCCAGTGAAATGGGATACTTTTTTCTTTCGAAAGCAACCAAAAGAGAGCTTGGAAAGGCTCTCTCTATATGCAAAGCAATTGTATTTTGTTTTCTCACCTTGACTTTCTTAGACTTACAGTTTGATAGGGTGATCGATAACTGTTTAAACTTCAAAGGAAATTTTAAAGGAAATTGCATTATTGTCTTAAAATAAGACTTGTTGGAAATCCTAGTCCATTAAGTAATTTCAAAAAATGGTTTTTGATGTAAATTGGTAGCCACAGCTGTCACACCCCATCGCCAAAGGAAGAACTGATTAGCAAGATGAATTGAGAATTCTGGTTGATTCCAAATGTAGTTTATTGACAACATATCATAATTTCATAAAACTGTGGCCTGTTGAGATGGAATTTTGTGTGTATAAGGGATGGGGTATGTGTGTGTGGCATGTGTTCTTGAAATGATGTTCCTTTGAATGTCCAAAAACACTGTACATAAAAGTAGAAATGCTCTTTAAACAAGTCTTCACCTGACCGCGATCAGTGCGGCATGTGCTTGTCGGCGGGCTGGCCTCGGTCCTCAGGGACAGCGTGCGGCTCCAGTGGTCTACCTGGCTGGTCTCTTGCCTGAGGGCACCTGGGACCGCTACTAAAAACTCAAACGGTGGGTTTAGGGACAGTGTTACGTTGAGGTAATTCTTCCTTTGTTACTTGCTGATATTCCTGCTAAATGTAGCATTTCAATTAGATCCAACCTCTTATGTTTTGAGAAAATTGTACAAAGAATGAAATTATGCAGAAATGGCCAATATCTTTTATTAATCTGTTCCTTTGGAAACTGTCATGCACTATAAATTGTGTATAGTTAAAAAATATATATATATATATATTCTTACATGAGTAAAAAGCACCCTCTCCAGCAATCGTATGTCATTGGTATTTGAAGAGAATTCTCAAATAACCCATTGCTGATGCTGCTGTTTTTGGACTGTGTGGGTTTTGTTTTGTTTTTGTGTGGTAAATTGCTATTTAAAAAAAAAAGGAAAGGAGAAAAACACAACTACTGTTTACAGACTGAAAAATTACTGCTTTTTATACTACTGAGATCCTAAGTTAAGACTCTCCAAAGCAAACATTTGTTTTAAATCATTTATCTGATGTGGATAAAAGGTAGAGGAATTTTTAGTGTTCTCCAAATAATGAAAAATGTACAAATGCCTAGCTGTGTTGCCCATCAATTTTGTATATTTTCATAATTTTAATTGTTCAAAATTGCATTATATTTTGCAATCACTATGTTTAATCTGGATTTGTCTTTCATTTTAACTTTTAATATAAAAAGGGGTTTCAGTGTATCTATGGCCTTGTTATTGAAACTCTTCCTACTTATTTGATGTGGTTTATTAAAATGGGAAGTATACATTCTTCCTTCAGAGTAAGCATAGCAAATCTTTAAACTGGATGGGTTAATTTATATAAATAGCTTTAAGTCTGTTTACTTCTACCTGGTTCATTTTTCAGATTCCTAGAAGCTACCTTTTAAATAGTATTGTTCACCTCAATTTTGTATTGAGTGTTACATTCCTCAGCTAAATTGTAATATTTGTGGATTTAGTATTTATATTCCAAGGCCATTAGTCTTTTTGTTTAAAAGCAGTACCTTGCATGCTAGCACTTAATAATTATATATATATGTTTAGAGAGAGAGAACTTATTTTAGTATGTGCCACATTCCATTTTAGGCTCTGCTGATATAATGGTAAATGAAACCATATATCCCTCGTTAGTGGCCAAGGTGAGCAAAGTCACAATAAATATTAGCTTGTAATTAATTTAATAAAATAACTCAGAGTATGTGGTAACCTGGGTCATGAGAGGACACCTGGAGTGCTGCCATCTGACCTGAATGAGGAAAAGTCAGCCATGGGGAAAGGAACACAAGGTCAAAGGTCCCAGGGCTGGAAACAGCTGAGCGTGTTCCAATGACTGGGGAAAAAAAAAAGGCGCAAGTGGCTGGGACTTAATGAAAGTCCTAGGAAGAGAGAGGTAGGGACTGAGATAGTGGGATCAGAGCAATAAGGATTTTGCGGCTCAGAGGAAGGACTGAGATTTCTGATATTGGTGGGAAGCTAACGAGGGGTGGGGGCTGCAAAAAGGCTGGCGACGCAACTTATCCAAGAGTACGCGACTCCTCAGGCCAAGGCCAGGTTTATGCAGCCACGCTGACGGCACCGTGGAAAGAAGAGCTGTTTGTTTTTCTGCCCCGTGATTATGGAGTGCACTTCTTTGAGCCCTGAGAAGTCAATTTTTACCTGCTTTCATCCCAGCGTTATTTTCCTGCAACAAAAAAAGTGGGCACTTGGATATTACCTCACTGCCGTCTTTAATTTCCCCAAAAGGTGGGCTCAGGGTTACACCTTTTCATGTTCCTCATTTTTTAGGTGCTGTCACTGCTTGATGCAGACATGTATTTCCTACAAGTGGAGGGTAAGCAACTGTGAGCCAAATGCTTATAAAAATCATTTGGGGGGTATCTAAAGAAATTTAAACTTGGGCAGTACACAGCTTTTTTATAACTTTCCAGCTTCCATATATCCCAGTAAATGGGTCCCAGGTCATGTCCTATTTTACATATGGAAAAGTTATTGCATATGAGGTTACTACTTAAGACCACCCAGTGGGGTAGGGGTTGAACGAGGTGCAAACTCAAGCACTGATGAAATGAGCCCACGTCCCGACCCTCACCCCCCCCCCACACCCACCATCTCACATTCTTAGTCTCGACGGTCATGTTCCAATTCCCATTCAGTTCTGGTTCTCTACTGAATAGTCAGCTTTTCCTGATGCAATTCTAATGCTAACCTTTTGTGGCACCAGTTACCAAGGACTATTTGTAAATTCAAATTATTCTTGGCAATATTTGAGGTCACTTGCAAGTTCCTTAGCATAGGATTGTTCGTGTTGGATCCAGGGTCTCATTTGCTTCAGGTTATCTGGAACTTCCCTCAGAATTGTCAGATACTTGTTTGATTCTGGGAAGCCAGTCCATAGCCTTCATCACAGATTAGTAGCATCTGAGCCACAATATTATTTAATTAGACGCTAAGAAGTAGAAGGAGTCCATTTGACTTAGGTGTCAAAGACTGGATTTTTTGTGGCATAGGCAAATCAGCTCAGATTCGCAACTAGAAACAGGGCCCATCTTTAAGGAAAAGGATTTGATATAAAGAGCCTCTAACGTTTAATAATCTAGTCCTGTCCAATAGCCAATGTTTCTTCAACTTAAGACCCAAGGCTTATTACAATAGTACCCAGCCTGGACCCATCCAGTGAAGTACCCTGGGTGTTACCACTTCTCACCATGAGAAGATGAGACTACATGCAGGGATGGTGGAAACATGTAGTTTTTTTTCCTACCTGCCATTTGTCTTACTCTAATTTCCATAGGACAGTGAATACTTAGTTCTTTGAAAGTGACTATTTTAGATAGAAAAGAAAAAACTAGACCTGGCCAGGTAGCTCTGTTGGTTAGAGCATTGTCTCAATGTGCCAAAGTAGTGGGTTCAATCCCCAGTCAGGGCACATACAAGAATCAACCAATGAATGAATGCATAAATAGGCAGAACGTTTTTTTCTCTCTGAAATCAATTAAAAAACAAAACAAAACAAAACCCTAGAACAGCTAAAGCAAGCAATGAGAAGCATCCAGAGACCTCCCAAAATTTTCATTTAGAATTGAAATAATGAGTAGGGGAAATACTGTAATTGTTGGGCCAAATGTATACAGTGGTGAGCAAAAGTAGGTGTACAGTTGGAATACAAATAATACAATAATAAATAATAATGCAAGAATAAACTTTCACATCCTCAAAACTGTACATGTACTTTTACATGCCCCTATATATTCTTTTGTCAAATGTAGGGTACTGTTCTGGCCGGTGTGACTCGGTGAGAGCCGGCCTGTATGATTCCTAGGTCACCGGTTCCATTCCCAGTCAGGGCATGGGCCTGGGTAGTGGGCCAGGTCCCCCAGCTGGGGGCGTGTGTGAGGCAACCATTCAACGTTTCTCCCCCTTTCTTCTTCCATTCCCCTCTCTAAAAATAGGTAAATAAAACCTAAGAAAAATTATAAAAATTTTTTTTCCTTAAAAAAATGTTGGGAGTAGTTATGCTGGCTATGGGCAGGCCTTCAGGCTGAGCACGTTTTACCTAGCCCAGCTGTTAGCCTAAGCCACCAGATGTTTTCGTCCTGACCAATTCTACATGGGCTTCCCTGCATCTTTTGTTCCCAATGACTTTAAATACCAATCTGGTTAAAAAAAAAAGGGAGGGAGCAAAAACTATTTTATTTGCCAACTCCATTCAACTTAAATTTCTTTGGGTGCAATTAAACATATTTCAGGAGCTGCAGTTTGATCTCTTCAAATAGTTCAATATGAAAGTGGGGATGTTAGGAAGCTGACCATTGCAGACACTGCTCATCACTCCAGAGAACAGATTTCAAAGTCAGTGCAATGCTGCTCTCTCTGACTTTTTAAAGGTTGGTACTTACTGAGTAACTGACAGTGACAAAGTAACTTAGATAGCAAACAGTCCCCATTTTTTAAACTTCTACATTGAACGGAATTACATCATTTAGCTGTCTAAAATCAAAACTCGAAAAACCCTATCAGATTGTATCAGCAAAACTAAGGCTTTCCTATACGTATTTCATGAAGTATGGAAAACATTTCCACCGAGGTTCATTAACAGTGCTGTTCAGTTTTAAGGACAAGACCGTGGACAATGCGACTTACCACCTACTACCAGTCCACGTGAATCTGAACACCAGTGGAGCGTGAGCAAGGTGGGCCTTGACCTGGGACCAGCCCCTGCAGCATTTACTAGGACAGCCTGCTCCCCTGCCACAGTGCGATCCACACCAGCTTGGATTCAAAAATAAAGTCAAAGGAGCAAGCAGGTCATAGTCCAAAGTGCAATTTGTAAAAGAGAACTGAATGGTTTCGGGTCTACTTAACCAAAACATGGAAACTTTAATTGGATCAGAATTATACCTGTCAAGGATGTGGGCAGTACATTCTTTATAGCACCAATTCCTTCTGAAGGGGAAATTCACAAGCCATCTGCCTGAGTGTTCTAGCTGTACCAGGGCTGGCTATAGAGACATCCCACGCACAGTCATGTCAGCATCAAAGTCTGGGCATGCTCAGATTTCTTATATTCCTCTTACACCCCTCACACCCCAGGAGGGTCTCACAGCCAGCAGATAACTCTCCCTCCCCACCCCCGCCAAACTCTGGGAAACCCCGGAGTGCCTTTCTACAGCTCCTCCTTCTCCCCCTTCTTCTGGAAGGCAGTCAAGATGTTTAAGCTCTTTTGGAGCTCCTCCTTCTTCCCGTCGCTCATCTTGTTCTTCTCAATCAGCTTGGTGATCCGGGTCATCTCCGATGCTGGGAAGTCCTCACCTTGGTCTAAGACCTTCCCCATGATCTTCAGGTACTGCTCGGCCCACTTCTTCTCAGTCTCCTTCACGCCAGCAAGGCTGTCTTGTCCCCTCTTCAAGAGGGCCCGGCGGGCCTCCACGCCAGAGGCCCTGATGAACTCGCCAGCAAGGGCATCATAGGCAGGCAGGCAGCCAGGCATACCTAGGTAGACTCCTTGCCCCTTGAGCCAGCGCTGGATGGCTCCGACCTTAACTGGCCCGCTATATGGGACTGGGTTCTCAAAGTCCCCATCCCGGAAGAGGTAGAAGACTGGGTAGTTGTCTTTGTCCAACTTGTACTTCTCACTTAGCTCCATGTTCAGCTTGTCACCATAGTCTGTGAACAGAAAGCAGACATGAGGGGCAAGACCGTGAGAAGGCAGGGCGGAAGCCGACCTGAGCTGAGAGGAAGATACATCTTGGCTGTGTCTGAATGGCTCCCCTGCTCCTTCCCAGCTGGCTGGCCCTAGTCAAGTCACATCTAACCTCTCCGAACTTCACTTTCCCCATCTGAAAGGTGGGGATGCTTCTGAATATTCACTGTATGCCCACTGCGTGCCAGGTCCTGTTCTTAGTGCTGGGGATCGAGTTGTGATTAAGAGTATAAAGCTCTCCAACCCCAAGGGGCTCATGTTCTTCCACGGGTGAGAAGAAAGGTAATAAACCACCATAGATGTTAGTGCCGTGATGAAAATAAAACGGCAATGTGACACTGGGTAGGAAGGCCCCTTTCAGGTAGTCCTGTCTGTGGAGGTGGCATGAGCTGAGGGACGAGACATGTGAATGAAGATCTGGGAAAAGTGTCTGTGGTAGAAAAGACCGGACATTCAAAGCTCCGAAGCAGCGAATGAGCTGCATGTACAGGGTCTGGCGGAAGGAACACCATCCAGTGTGGTTGGCAGGGAACGTGACCGGCTCACACGAGACGGAGAGCGATTTGAACATTACATCTAAAATGTCCTGTGATGTGCTTGAGCGTGATGTTGTTGTCTCCAAATTACATGCTTATGGTTTTGTAATAAAAGATTTGGTACAGATTACCAGCTGATAAAAAAAGGGCGTTACTTGTGCTGGACCCCTGTATTTAAGGATTACAAAGTCCAGTCTGGCCAGAGCTCAGTGAGACGGGGGGCGTGTGCGGTAGGTAACACAGTTCCTATCGCACAAGGGCCGATGGGAGGACCCAATGAGGAGACGTGCATTTACCTTGGCAGAGTTAAGTGCTTAATATATGACAGCTGCTAGGATTTGCAATGTCCTACCAAAAAGGCAATAGCAGTCCCCAGGGCTGATGCGGGACAGCTGGTTTCTTGCACCATCATGAAGAGATGGCCAAGACCACCTTTCACAAGGTGACAGAATAGGAAGCGTGTGGCTCCAAACCTGTTCTGCCACTTTAAACGAACTCACAGTTGGGTCAGAATTGACCGACTGCCCTGGAGAAGTGTGCCAGCCGTCTCTGCCCGGGACCAGCTTACTAGGGGCTGAGGCGCTCCCGCTGGGAGGAAACAGAGCTGGGAGGAAACAGAGGCGAGGAGCCACTGCACGTGGGAATAAGGACTCAGGCTGAGTTCTGGGTAAGCCCCTTCCTCCCCGCTCCCCGCACAGCCTTGAGCTTCAGTCTTGATTAAGCGTAACGTGGAGGTGCACACTACACCTCGCTTCTTAGGTGGGGTTCAAGTGAAGATTAAAAAGGCAATGTCTGTATACATCTTTCCGGGTTGTAAACCACTAGATGTTGGCCACTATTATTATTAAAGCTGTCAGTGTGGCTGAGAGCTGCCCTTGGGTTAGTGGCGACGCTGATGGATTTGAGGTGAAGCGAAACCCCAACAGTTTTGGTACAAAAGAGCTGAAATGAAGATGGAAGAATGGACTAAGCTATCTGTCAGAGGAGGCATTGCACCCCCTCTCACCACGGTCCCCAGCAACGAGAGCTCCCAAGTTCTCACGGTGAGTTTAATGTCAGTGGGTGTAGAGGGTGAAGGATGGTGGATTCCCTCTCCTCGGGCACCCGCACGGCCGAGCTGAGGTTCTGTGGTCACAGAACCTGCTCAAGCTAAGCTTACTGTGGGTACCAGATTGCTTCAAAGGCCACGATCCCATTTCCACCCTTCGTGTGGCTCCGATGGAAAGGGGCTGGGTATTCCCCCTACAAGTAGGGAAATAATTTCTAGCTTCCCCCCTTTCTGCCCTCCCCAGTTGTCCGGACTTGTCCATACCTGAGATCCCCACCTCTGCCACCAAGAGATCCTCGCTGGAGGCCGAGTTTTCAGCCAGACGCTTGAACTCATCCTGCTTCTCGCCGTAGGGGTACTGGGTGTCGAACTTCACCAAGACGAACTTGCTCTTGGGAATGACCTGAGGATGTACAGAGCTGAGCAAGCGGGGGTTCCAGGAACCTTTAGGGCTAACTGCCCTTCCCAGTGGACCCCTGGTTAAGAAGTGGAAACCAAGCCCATGAGGGAGGCACGCTCTCACATACTAATAGTTATTCATTCACTCACTGATTCACGTAACAATTTAGTGGTGCCTGCCATGTGCTGGGTGCCCCATTAGGTGCTTGTTCGCACTAACCGAAGACGTGTACAACCCCATCAAGAATAAACAGCTGCAGGTGTTCTGAGGCCCTCCCCTCCAGTGGTCCTGTGCTGAGGCCGGGGAGACCCTTAGCACACAATACGCTGGCCCCTGTCATGCCCACCATCCCAGTGGGGGCCTTTCTCAGTACACAACGAAGCAGAAAAATGCCAAAAAGCAACCAACTAACCAACATCTATAAAGGAGTTGGCACCATGGAGGATGCTTCGGCTGGGGGGCCCACACTTTGAACTCTGCAATTTCAGGCTCCAGGGAAGTTGCTGAGAGGCCGGGCTTGGGACAATGTCCCCTCCCTAGACCACGGTTCCCTCTGGCTAGATTTCTAGGGACTACACCGTCAGGGCCACGATTTTTATTTTCATTGGAAAATTCACTTCACCCTTTTAGCCATTTTAAAGTACACAGGTCAGTGGGATTAGTACAGTGACTGTTGTGCAACCATCACTAACATCTAGTTCCAGGACACTGTTACCACCTGAAGCAGCAGCACATCCTACCCACTGAGCAGCCATTCCCCAGTCCTCCTCCCTCCCAATCCCCGCAACCACTAATCGGCTTTCTGTCTCTGCGGCTTTGTCTGCCCCGATGGTATCATACAATATGGGCCTTCTGTGACTGCCCTCTTTCACCTAGCCCAATGTTCTCAAGGTTCATCCATGTTGCAGCATGTGTCAGTAGTGCGTTTCTTTTTGTGGCTGGATAAATATTCCACTGTATAAACAGACCACAGTTCGCTTAGCTATTCATCAGCAGATGGACAATTGGAATGTTTCAACCTTTTGGCTATTTGTGAATAGCTGTTATGAACATTCATGCACAAATCTTTGTTTTTACACCTGTCTTCAGTTCTTTTGGATCTATATCTAGCAGTGGAACTGAGGGGGGGGGCGGCTCATGTAATTCTATGTTTAACATATGGAAGAATCCCGAGGACTTCTCTTGATGATTTCTTGGCCAACGCATAGATCTGATTTAATGAACTGCTTTTGGTCAGTACTGCTGCCTTGTCTTCCTCCTTCAACTTTTTGTTTTCCTAATCAAACCAGTCAGCATTTCATCCCAGGCTGATATCATTCCAGTTTCTGTTACCCCTTGTTCCTTATTGTGTGCTGATGTCCATTTGGTTTTAGGTTTTAAAAAATATCTCACACTGCCTAGGGGCGCGAGGGAAAAGGGAGAAGCCACGGCAACAGGTAATCTTCAAGTGGTCACTGACCCCCAACATTCTGAGCTCTGGGGGCCTTAAAGCAGGGGAAACTTAAAATATAAATCAGAGCATATCCCTCTGGCCCAACTAGCCTTATGTGAGTTCAGTACACCGAACTCATTCTCCCTTAGGGCCTTTTCACTTGCTGTCTCTGCGATGCCCTTGTCCCAGTTCCTTCCACGGCTGTCTATCAACGCTCCGTTCAGGTAGCCCCTCCTGATGGAGGCCGTCTCCACTACTCCCATCCAATCCTGCTTCTTTTCCATTACACTCCATCGCTTACCCTGCTCCGTTTTCTTCGCTGCATTTAATCATTCTCTGAAATCCTTATTTGCTTGTCTGTTATCTGCCTTCTCCACTAGAATGTACATTTGTGAGAATAAGGATCTTGTCTGACCCGTTTTCTGCTGTATCCCCAGTGCCCAACAGTGCCTGTATGTAGCAGGTGCTCTGAAAATATTTGCTAAATGAACAAAACTAGGGCAGACTTTGGTGGCAGATGCTGTGTGTTCAATGGAAAACAATTTGAAAAGCACAACAGGATTTCTATCTACAAGGGGCCTACATCTGTATTATGAAATATTAATAACAATGATATTATTAATAGGGAATAAATTAATACAGTGCTCTAACACTGAAATAGAATCGAGAGACCTCCATCTTTTATTTTACCTTCATTCACCATTCTTACCACTGGCAGGGCAGTTTTGAATGGCAAACATTTGCACAATGAATTTTTTCTTCTATGTATATAGTTTACATAGTCTTCTTCTATTTTACTCAGTCTGTACCTCTTAACTGCTTTAGGAATCTCTCTCCTTTCCTCATCCTTGAGGAACTGATTCCATGATAACCTGTATTTTGGCAAGTTGCTTCTTCAATGTACAGATGAATTCATTACTCATTCATTCATTGAATAAAAAGGTACTGAGGGCCCACCATGTGCCACGCACTGTTCTAAGTGAACAAGAAGATGGACAGTAAAGAAAATGGACAGGGTCTCTTATCTCTGTGATGGCAAAGGGCAAGAAACAAAAGAAGACATTGGAAATCACTTAAAGACAGAGCATGGGTTGAGGCCCCCGGACATGATAACACGAGGAAGCTTCTGTTCAATAATAATAAAGAGAATGAGTTTTAGAAAGGGAGTGGAGAAGACACTTGCTCATTCAACAAACTATTATTGAGCATCTTATATGTAACATGTAACCAACCCTTTCGGCTGGGGGATGGGGAAATCATGGAAAGACTCTGAGAAGGTAACATTTAACCTAAGCTTGGATGAGAACCAACCAGCCTTCAAAGATTGGGGAAAGAACGTTCTAGTCACAAGTGCAAAGGACCGAAAGCAGTAATGAGCTAGGAATATATAGAAGACAGCACGTGTGGCTGGAGCAGAGGGAACAAAAATGAGAATGGTTAGATGAAAGGAAAGGGAAGCGAGGGACAGATGGTGTAGGACCTAGGCTACTTTATGGAGCATGAATTGAGAGTAAGCTACTGCAATGATAGCTCTGACCATGGTAGGAGCAGTAAAGATGGAGAAACACCAAATGCTTAGGGAATGCTGTTGACTTTACAGTGCAATGTCTCCATCTAGGTCACATTTGGTCTGTGATGTTATCCCATTCCCGCGTGTGTGTGTGTGTGTGTGTGTGTGTGTGTGTGTGTGTAGGGGCATCACTTGGCCAGTAAAGGCCCCCAAAGCATAGGGTGCTGTGGGGTGTGCCTGACAACCAACCGGCCATACCTACACTTTTAAATTCTTTAAACTTTGCCATGAATGGGCTACAAGTGCCAAATTCACAAGAAACCCTTTTGAAATAAGAAGGGTTCAACTACTTGAGATAGATTTAGAACTCCACTTCTTGGTATCATGTCCCGGCAATGGATACAACTTAAGAAAATACAACAACGGGCTCTCTCTCTCTCTCTCTGAAACCCTAAGCTTGCTCATCTTGTAAGCAAAGTTAAAAGTTGACAGTGGGTGAAGATAGTTGCAAGCGGAGGGGGTTGGGACTGCATTCAGCCTTCAACATTTCCAACGGCCGTTTACCTACGCCAGAACCTCAAATTCTGTAAATTTGGGAGTTGGGGTCGTGGCAAATTCTTCCATGGCTTGACCTGATTTTATTCTTTTTGTCCCCAAGCCCAAGATATTCCCTGTGGGGTGGTTGAACCGAAGCTTGTTCTTAATGCCTATACTTTTCAGGGAGACGCAGGCTCTCCGGCCATCATTTGCCTATTGCAAAGCAGACTGCAATCCACACTAGGGAAAGAGGGGCGCAGAAACGAAAGCCAACACGACGGTTTTCTACCCCGCCCGCCGCCCAACCACAGCTGGAGTTGTGGCGTCCGCCTCGCACGGCCCTCCGAGTCTCCCACTTGGGACTCGAGGATTGGATCGCGCCTGGCACCGCCCCCTACTCCTAGGTGAAGGAACTGGGCACCGAGTTCTCTAGGCTGCATCTTTGCGGCAGCTCTTCTGCAAAAGAGGAACAAGTACAAATACTGCACAGGCAAGGGTGCGCGGGGCACCTGGAGTACGTAGAACCCACGGTCATGATTCGGCCTCAGGCGCAGAGTCCACCAGCCCTATGGTATGGTGGGAAGCCCCGGGATCGTCGTTACAGACCACCTGCCAGCCCTCTGTCCCCTGCGCCCCCCACGGGTGCGCACTCCCCTGGGCACTTTGGCTGCACCTGCGCGCGATGTTCCCCGCCCTCGTTACCTTGTAGAAAGTGACTGTATCCAGGGGAAGGGAACCCTTGGTGTGCAGGCCGCTACTGCCCTGCGGAGTGCAGAGGAGCAGGAGGAAAAAGAAAAAGGGAAACAGTGGGGAGAGAGAAGCGGCGCAGAGAACGGTGGCAGCCATAACGCCGGAGCTAGGAAGGCTGTACGCAGGGAGCGCGGAGTCGCGCGGCACGTGACCAGGAAGGCTAGCCGAGCAGCTCAACGCCCGCCCAGGCTGAGGGGAGGGGCCACACGAGGGGCGGGAAATGGGGGCTGCCGCGCGCGCACTCTACAAGCTCGCGCCTTCCCGGGGTGAGAGGGAGGGGCGACGTGAGCGCGCGGCGAAGGGTGGGTGGGGGGTGGGTGGAAAGCGTGTGAGGCTGTCGCGCACGCGCAGTCGGCGAGGCGCGCAACCGGCTGTCTCTTTTCCCGTCCTCCTCCGCGTGAGGAGCGAGGCACGAGGCGCGTGCTTAGCGCCTTTGCAGCTCTTGGTTTTGCGTGTCCTCGCCTAGGGAGGTGACGGCTCTACCCCTTGTTTCTTCCTGCCTTCGGTCCGCCAGGCAGTCGGCCGGGTCCCGCTACCATCTTCGGTTAGTCCGTCAGTCAGCGTGACTGTGCTACCTCCTACCCTCGCTCGGTGGGCCGGGTTTCCCCCTCAGCCCGTCGTGCGCCGCCCCCGCCCGTAGCCAAGCCCCGAGGTGGTCGGCCGGGCGCGGCTGTGCCTCAGGGCCGCTCAGCCCGCTGCCCAGTCCCGCGGGGCGGGCCGGCCCTGAGGTGATGAGTGCCGCACCCGGGCGGCGCCCGGTTTTACCGAAAGCCGAGGACCCCGCCAAGCTAGGTCCTAGGCTCCAGGAAGATTAAAAAACAAACAAACAAACAAAAAACACCCAGACAATTCTGTTCCATGTATCTGGGGAAGGTATTCGTTCGGTTTGTTTACGCCACACGCTGGGTTTGCCTGCGGGGCGCGGAGGCGCACGAGACCAGCCGTGCACCGCAGCAACTCGGTGCTGGGGGAGGCGGAGACGCGGGGACAGCAGTGTCACCCTTACCGCGTAATTACTTGGTAGGAAAGAAGACTCTATATAATTTAACAGTGTAGTGAAGACGCGCGAGCCTGTTCTGGAACGTCAGGGAAAGTTGTAGACGGGAGATGACTTTTGAGCTCGATCTTCTTCTGACCTAAGAGGAGGCATTTGCAAGGCAAACACGAGAGGCTATTATAATGATAGCTAGGGGGTGAGCATGACAAAAAAAAAAAAAAAAAATCTGTGAAGGGCACCTGGGGCACGTTGTGGAGGGTTGCACCGAGCTACGAGCTGCCAGGTTTGGAGCCGTCCAGGGTTTTGACCAGGAGAGGGACTTCAAGGGAGCGGGCCGGGGAGAGCGGAAGGCTGCAAAGGCAGGCCGGTCGAGGGCCTGTTGCCGTAGTCTCGGGAGGACGTGGTAACGGCCTGCAAATAGGACAGAACGGTGGGATGAAGAGGGAAGAAGGGCGCCGAGTCACTTTCTTGGGGTGTGGTTCACAAGCCTTGGTGAGCAAATGGGTACGAAGGTAAGAATACGTTATAAAACACGTAATAAGGGAATTAGCGCCGTATTAACCATTGTGTGTGTTCAGTAGTAAATTTGTGTGTGTGTGTATATATATTATATTATATGTATATATATTATATAATAAAATAGTCATCACGGATAATGGGATCCAACCTTGGGCAGCCAGTTTGGACAGAAATTTTGCTCGAGAGAGGAGAGAGAGAGTTTTGGGTGGTTTGGACGATTTTATTTCGACTTTGCCCTGATAAATTATTAAGTAACGTGAGCAACCTAGGCAAATGACAGAAGTTAGAGGAGGGGAAAACTGCTGTGAGCTAAGGTGGTTCAGGAAGGCCTCGTGTAGGCTGCGGAGGTGGGGTTGGTTTGAGCCTTGGAAGAAAGAATGTTTTCGGTGGAGAACGAGGGAAAAGGGAGCAGGCGTGGGAATGGGCGTGACGCTTTGGGGAATGACTGGCTTTTCGGGGAAGGGGTTCTCAGAACAGTGACCAGTGAGCCCGTTGTAAGCCCAGGTAGGGGAGAGTCCTGAACATCGAACTCAGAATTTCACGTTTTGCTCTGTAGTCGATAAGGAGCTATTAGGAGTTTTTAGATAAAACCTTTTCAATGGCATTTAGACTTTTAAGTTACTTCTCAGTGCAGAATGTTTTGGGTACAGCCAGTTAAAATGATTGATCAGGAGTGACTTTCAAGCCCTGGTTAGTTTAGAAGTGGGTTGTGAAAAAAAATGAAGGAAGTGGATTGGTTGGAGAGGGAAAGCTAATATTGGTACTTTTTTTTTTTTTCCTATGAATTGCAAAAGTACAGTAATTGTCTCAAAGCTTCCTTTTAGCAGCGCCCTGGTCCCAGTCAGTTTCTCACGATACGATCAGCGTTTGGGCCTCAGGAGTCTGGACGGTCTGCACAGATGAGCCAGGGCTAACTCTCCGTGTCTAGGGGGTCATTAAATCCCACAGTCGGCACCGGCGGGGGAAGTCAGAAAGCCCACGCTGGGTACTGCATGGAGGTAGGGAGCCCGAGGCGGGCGTGTTACCTGAGTGTGCACACGACCCACCCGTGCACCCAGCGTCGCAGCTGGAGGAAGGAGGGAGAAAAGGGGTACGGCCTGTTCAGGCAATATAGAAACTCTCCCACCTGTGAGACCCCAGTTTCACTGACCTCTTCATCGTTCCTTGTATTCACATGGCATGTTCCTGCCTCAGGGCCTTTGTCCTGGTTTTCTCCCCCTAGAACACTTTTCTTCAATGTATTCATGTGGCTGGCTCCTTCACTTCCCTCACGTCTTTGCTCCAGTGTCAACTTGCTAAGATCTACCCTGACCATCCTTTAAAATATTGCTCCTCCCTGATTCCTTTGAGCTTTCCATCTCCCTACTCTGTTGCTGTATAGTACTTTTCAAATTGGCAACATACTACGTAATTAGTTTACTTTTTAATTACCTGTTTCCCTTGAGGGCTGGGGTTTTGGGTTTCTATCTATTTCTCTGGCACCTAGAACAGTGTCTGGCACATGGTAAGTGCTCAGTAAATACTCAAGAGGAACTAGCCCGTGCCCCCTCTCCAAATTCCATTGACCCTTTCTACATTGCCTTCTTAGACCCCAGATTGTCCTTCAAGATCGCCTAGAGCCGTTTTTCCTCTGCAAGGTTTTGTTGATGTTAACACTAATTCTTCTGACATAAATATCTTAATGAACCCTTAAAGCAGATTTCACCTGTTGAAAATTGTTATGGGTGGAGATTTGTTCCACAGTATGATTTTTCTCCAAGCCTCATCTTTCTTTAAGAATTATCTTTCATATGCCATACACTCCTGGGGATAAGGGTTACATTAGTGAATAAAGTCTCAATACATATGCTCCCCACAGTCCTAGTGTGGAACACTAATATTAAATAATTAGCCCTGTCTGGTGTAGCTCAGTGGATTGAGCACAGGCCTGCAAACCAAAAGGCTGCTAATTCGACTCCCAGTCAGGGCACATGCCCGGACTGTGGGCCAGATCCCCACTAGGGGATGTGTGAGACACAGCCACACATTGATGTTTCTCTCCCTTTCTCCTTTCCTTCCTCTCTATAAAACTAAAAATAAAATTTAAAAAAATAAATAATTACACAATTATATAATTACAAAGTGTGATAACTTCTAAAAGAAAAGTTGAGGGCCTATAAAAGAATATGATGGGGAGCATGGCTGGATGGGGAGCATCAGTGGATTGAGCTCCAGCTGTGAACCAAAGGGTTGCTGGTTCGGTTCCCAGTCAGGGCACATGCCTGGGTTGCAGGCCAGGTCCCCAGTGGGGGCCACATGAGAGGCAACCACACATTGATGTTTCTCTCTCTCTCTTCCTCCCTTCCCCTCTATCTGAAAATAAACAAATAAAATCTTAAAAAATAATAAAAAATGTCTTTTTTAAAAAAATATGATGGGGAGATTAATATGGAATAGAGTTCATAGAAAACTTCTACAAACGGGTACATTTAAACTAACACCTGAAGGATGGATAAGATCCAGCTCTCAAGGAACTTACATTCATATAATGAGACAAATGTTCAATATTTACATAAATAAATACAAAATTATAGATTCTTACATGTTAGGAAGCATTTTAGGAAAAAAAACAGCACATGCAAAGATTTTAAGGTACAAAAGACCTTGAAATATTTGAGGAACTAAAAGAATTCGGCCCTGGAATCTTCCCTTTAGTAAAAACATCAGCACAGAAAGAGGTTATATGTGCAGAGATTTAGGAATGTTTACTGCAGCATTGTTTTAAGAAGCTGAAAAGGAAAAAAGAAAATTAAGAAACAAAATCTGAAAACAAGCTACATGTCTGTCATGAGAGGAAATGTTAGATAAATGATCTCATGTGGAATATTATACAGCTATCAAATGGCTTAGAACTATTTCTATTACAGTGAAGAGATATCCATGAAATAATAGGTGAGAAAAGCAATATGTGATCCCATTTTTAAAAACCTACTACTATAACAACCACCATACACATATGTATATATTTGGATATGTTTTAATGAGCATAAAGATGTAGAGAAATACTCCAGGCTGTTAGCATTGGTTACATCCAGGGGAGTGGAGAAAAAGAAAATAAGACAAACAAAAGGAAAAAATTATTATGTAATGTTGAGCAAAAATACATAATATAAAATACTGTCTGTGGAATTACAACTTTGTAAAAATTAAATATGCCTATGAACAAGGACACTAATAAAACATTGTTTTGACTAGATGATAAGATTACAGGATACTTTTTACTTTGGATTTGTTATTTTAACATTGTTTTTTCAATAGTATAATATTAAAAAACTCAGAGATTTTTAACATCCAGGAATTAAATAACTTCAGCAGAAATATTTTTTCTCCTTTTGTCCCACTTTCAATTCATGTATTTTGTCTTACATACTCTTCTAAGCCACACAAGATATTTTGAAGTTTCATAAATGTTACATCTCTGAGGTCATGATATTTGAGCTGATATTTGAAGGATGAGAAGGAACCAGTCATGTGATTATCTGAGGGAAGAGCATTCCAGAGAGAGGGAACAGCTATTGCAAATATTCTGAATTGGAAAAGTACGTGACTTGTTGAATTACACATGTAGGCAAACACTACGATGACTCCCAATGATCCCTGCCTATTGAC